TTGTTTTCTGAGTAGTTCAGGCTGGCCTTGAACTCATTTTGTAGCTCAGGCTGGCCTCAGGCTTGCAGTGATCCTCCTGCTTCACCCTCCTTACAGCTGGAATTACAGGCTGGTGCCACCATACCCTGATGAGTGTTTTCTGGCTGTTGTTGTTGTTTTGTTTTGAGATAGGGTTTCACTATGTAGCCCAGGCTGGTCTTGAACTCGCAGCAATCCTCCTGCCTCAGCCTTCCAAGTGCTGGGATTACAGGTATGCACCACCAGTCCTGCTTCTGACAGGTATTTTAGAAAAAGCCCCTTGAAATCGGGCATGGGGGTACACAGCTCTAATCCCAGCACTCCAGGAGGCTGAGGGAAAAGAATCTCAAGTTCAAGAACAGCCCAGGCAACTTAGTGACATAGAGAGACCTTGTCCAAAAAAAAAAAAAAAAAAAAATTTTTTTTTTTGTCTTTTTGAGACAGGGTCTCGCTATGCAGTTCAGGCTGGCCTTGAGCTCACTTTGTAGCCCAGGCTGGCTTTGAACTCACAGCTAGCCTCCTGAGTGCTGGGATTACAGGCGTGCGACACCACGCCCGGCTCAAAATTTAAAAGACTAAAAATACAAAGGGCTGGAGCGGTAGCTCCGTGTGGTGGCTCTGGGTTCAACCCCACTCCGCTTCAACTCGGATCTTATATTTTCTCATAATCAGTGTTTTCTCATAGCAGTGTCTGAGCTGCCACAAAGACAGGACATCTGCCCTTGGGTTCTTGGTGCCAACCTGAAGGGTCACTGGGGACCTTAACCTTGGCCGCTCGGGCCACAGGGGTAAAACGGCCCCTTCCACGTCTCTCACTGTGACTCCCGGCTATGCAGCTGCCCTCCCGCGCAGGCCTGTCACAGGCGGAGGCGACGAGGGTGGGTGCCGGGTGGGTCCGACCTCGTGGGGGCTGGGGCGCGGGAAGTGGCCGGGAGCCCAGGAGCGCCCCCTGCAGGACCCGGCAGCACAGGCACCAACGCAACCCAGCTTTGCTCCCAGCGACCGAAAGTTTCCACCGCAAGCGCTTTTGCTTTTTCTGTAAGGCTGATGGCTACGTGGGAAGACTATCGCTCCCTCTGCTCTGCCCCACCCCGCGCAGAGAGGGGGCAGGGACGTCCGATCAGCTGCCTCCTGAAGAAATCGGAATTCCAGTGCCAGGGCTGCAGGCTGCTGGACGGGACATCCACCACAGCTGCCAAATACTCCCGTGGGAGCCAGTGTGCTGGGCACGCCTGTGATCCCAGCGCTGGGAAGACTGAGGCAGGAGGATCGCTGTGAGTTCCACGTCAGCCTGGGCTACACAGTGAGACCCTGTCTCAAGAAAACAGAAACCAAACAAAAATAAAAGTCGCCCCAGGGTCTCCCTTCAGCACACTGGATCAAAGAGATCAAATCACACAGCCAAGGTCTGGGTTTGAACCACATTAGAGGCAGGTTTGGATCTGCCTGGTCCTGATCTCCTCTCCCTAAAGGTCCACATGAAAATGATCAAAGTGTGTGTGTGAAGTAGCCAAGACTGGGCCACAAAAATGACACAGATGCATAACAGGGACTATGTTTTATAAACTTTTTTAATGTTTTGCTGGAAAAAAATCCTATTATGTAGTTCAGGCTGGCCTTCAACTTACTATGTAGCCCAGGCTGGCCTCAAACTCATGGCGATCTTCCTGCCTCAGCCTCCCACATGCTGGGACTACAGCACATTCCACCAGGCCCCGTTCTCTTGTATGCACTTCCTGATGTTCAAACATTCCAACAGCAGCGACCATCTGCTATAATGACTGCTGGTGCTGGGGGCCCCTGAGGGACAGGGCCAGCTCAGGAGTGTCAAGAGATTCCTTAAAGACAAGTCATTTGGGGGCTGGGGATATAGCTCAGTGACACAGTGCCTGCCTATTAAGCACAAGTTCCTGAGTTCAATTCCCGGTACCAAAAATATATATATATATATAAGTCAGTTGGAAGCCAGGTATGGGTTGTGCACCTCTATAATCTCAGCACTTGGGAAAGCTGAGGCAGGAGGATCACAGTGAGCTTGAGGCCAGCCTCAGCCGCACAGTAAGTTCAAAACCAGCCTGAACTATAAAGTGAGATCCTGTCTCAAAAAAAAAAAAAAAAAGTCAGAGATAGGCTGGGCCAGAGCAGAGCCCGGGACAGGGTGCAAGCCATGACCCTGAGGCCAGAGCCTAGGAGACAAAGAAGAAGAGACAGAGACCAGACAGGTCATGGTGGTGTACCCTGTCAACCCAGCACTCAGGAGGCTGAGGCAGGAGGATCACCAGGAGTTTGAGGCCACCCTGGGCTACACAGCCAGACACTGTCTCAAAAGAAAAGAAATGGAGCAGTTGGGGGGAACAGTGGCTTTGAGGGGGCGCAGAGCTGAGGGGGGCAACATAGGGACAGGTACACACTGTCCCCAAGACAGGAGTAGGGAAGGGGCAGGGAAGGGAGGAAGATGCTCACTCTGCCTGGAAGACAGAGCCGCTGCAAGTCCGGCTTCCTACTTTAAGACCCCAGGTCATGAGCTGTGTCGCTGGAGACAAAAGCTAATGTTTTGTTCTTTGGCATTTTATTTCAAAATTGCAGCAAGGACAGAGAGAAAAAATTAACGGCAGCAGCGGGGTCCGGCCTGAGAACAGAGAATGTGGAGTCGAGGCCACGAAACATCCCTGACCCCCCAGAGATGAACATGGAGCAGCAGGGGTAGGGAGAGGGCAGCTGGTCCCCACCACGTCGCAGGGCCAGGTCGCAAAACGCCTGGGCCCATGACTTTGGGAGTGTAGCAACCACCAGGGGGCGCCAGAGGCCCGGGTGTCCGTCCCCGGCCTCTCTTATTGCACTTCAGGTGAGTCCTGACACGTCCGTTGATCTGAGGTGTGGTCCGGCCGAGCCCGCATGTCACACCGCTAGCATCCACTCGTGGGTGCCGGTTTCGTACTGCAGGACAAACAAGTGGGGGAGTGGGGGGGGGGTCAAACTAGAACTCCCAAGAGGCCTTCGGGTGCCCCAGGCTCAGGGCTCACATCTTCCACCCCGCAGCCTCATGGGAAATGTAGTCCAAACCCCGGCAACTGCCACCCATCACGGGGAAGGAAGGGACAATCCAGACAATGGTACACGGCTTAAGAGAGCCAAATTCTGGGGAACTGTAAAGGCCCCGAGGCGTTGGAAAAAGTTTCCGACTCAGAAAGCCCGATCAGTCAGAACTGTAATTCTAGCGCTGATGCTTCGGAGTTTATACAAGTTCACAAGGAAGGTGGCTGGGAAAGCCATCTTGGCTCAGAAGAATGGGAATGGCCCCAGTGGTTTAAGGGAGGAAACTTTCTTGGGCCGGAGCAGAGGCCACGGACCAGAGGCTCTGAAGGAGGAAGATTTCTCAACCCAAAGGCATAGATCAGGGCCTCGGGGACTCTTGGGAAGCTGACTTGTGCGGCCAGAGCGTGGGCCAAGATCCCAGAGGATCCTGAAGGGGTGTTTCACACACAAAAAGGAGACCCAGAGGCTGCAGAGGCTCATGGGAAGGGGATTTCTCCCACCAGAGAAGCAGAGGCTCATGAGACGCGCAGGTGACAAGCAAAAGTGTTAGTTCCGGACTCCCAGGGCTCCCCGGAAAGTGTTATTTAGCCCCAAGGGGCAGCGTTCCAGCCAAGAGGAATTCCTGGAAAGTTTCTTTAGCCTGAGGCCCAGGGACTGACAGGAGGGACTATTATCTGGGGCTACCGAGGAGCTGCCAGGGAACAAGCATCCAGCCGTTCCCCGTGGGTGCGACTCACCTGAATCGCCCTCAGCTCCTTCTGGAAGCGGAGGATAAGCTCGGGCCCGTGTTCCATGGTGGGAATATGGACGTTCTGGGAAACAAAGTGCCATGAGGCCGGGGCGCCCCCCACACACACACACATCTGCCCCGCCCGCCCTGGCGGCCCTGCTCACCTGGCCTTTGTACAGGATCCGGTGCACCGGGCAGACCTGGCAGGCGGTGCCGGAGCCAAACACTTCCCGCACCCGCCGCTCCTCCAGCGCCTGCAGCAACTCCCGCATGGTGATCTTGCGCTCCACTACCCGGAACTCACCCTGCAAGGCAGGAGGAGCAGAGGTAGCACGGCCCCCGGGGATGCCCCGCGCTGCAGCCCTGCCTCTCTTCGCCTGAGGATGGAGAAGGGCGGGCACAGGGACAAGGGGGCGGAGACTGGCCAGCACGCCACCCTCACGGGCACCCCGCCTACCCAGGACTGCGCCAGGTCCAGCAGGCTCTGTCTGACGACTCCGGGCAGGATGATCCCGTCCAGTGGGGGCGTCACCAGCTCCAGTACTAGGTCAGGTGTAAGGGGGTGACCCACAGCCTCTGCCCCCCCCAATCCCCGGCGCTGCACCCTCCGAGGAAGGAGGGAACCACGCGCTCCCACCCGAGCTGGTGCTGGGCCGCCGGTGAGCTCACCACCGTCCGTGTGGGTCCAGTAGATGAAGATGTTCATGGTGCCGACCTCGGTGAGCTGCTGGTCGGGCCCGTACAGCCACAGCACCTGCTCGCAGCCCTTCCTCTGCGCCTCTCGCTGCACTAACACCGTCGGCCCGTAGTTCCTGGCGGCGCAGCCGGGTGCGATTTGGAAGGGGCCCCGCCCCCGGCGTGGCCGGCCCTAGAGGGGTCTCCAGCCCCGGGGCTGACCTATTCTTCCCAGCTCCTGGCCCTGCTGTGGCTCCCACAGCTCAGGGGCTGGGCTCCCCGAGGTCAGGGACGTGGGGCCTGCTGAGGTTTCGGGCGCTTCTTACCCCCCAAGCTTGTAGTCACCGACGCCCCCCATCCAGGCTCGGATAAACGCGGGGTCCGCGAGCAGGGAGACGGGGGTCATGGAGTCCCCGGGGAAGTAGGAGCCCACGGGGCAGAGAATGACGAACAGCAGCGCCTGTGTGACACAGCCGACGCCCAGCGAGGGCTGCGATGGAAAAGGGGCCGCGTTAGCGGCCAGAAGCCCAGGCCCGGCCTCTGCCCTCGGCCCGGCCCTTTCCCTGCCCCGACCCCGTCCCAGCCCCCGCCGGGCCCACCTCGTTGCCGATGAGCACGGGCCGCACGTAGAGACTGGTGCCAGCCCCCTCGGGAACCCAGTCCTTCTCCACCTCCACCAGCCGGCGGATGCACTCCAGCAGCTCGGCCTTGTCGAAAGTCTAGGCGGAACCCCCGCCAGTCAGGGCCCGGGTGACTGCGCCCCGCCCGCGCCGCCCTCCCGGGCCGGCTGCTCACCGGCAGGCAGAGGCGCTGGGCCGAGCGCAGCATCCGGTCCATGTTAAGCCAGGGTCGGAAGAGGCGAACCCGCTGGTCCCTACCTCTGTAGGCCTTCAAGCCCTCGAAGAGCTGCAGGGACAGACGGCAGGAGGCTCGGCCTCAGACACCCCCAGATCACCAGAAGAGACAGCAGGACAGAGACTGCCAGCGTGCAGTACAGACAGACACGGAGCAGGGGACAGAGTAACACACCAAGTTACACAGACAGACAGAGAGACACACAGACTGAAGACAGGACAGGTAGATACAGGCAGAGACACAAGAGAGCAAATGACAGCAGGGCGTGGTGGCGCACACCTGTAATCCCAGCACTCGGGAGGCTGAGACAGAGACAGCATTGTGAGTTCGAGGGCAGCCTGGGCTCCTGGGCTACACAGTGAGTTTAAGGCTGGCTTGAGCTACACAGCAAGTAAAAGAAAAAAAAAAAGCTAGGAGCCTGAGACAGGAGGATTGCAAGTTTGAGGCCAGCTTTAGGAACTTGGCAAAACCCCCATATCGACAACCAAAACGAAATGGAGAGCCAGGTGTGGTGGTGCACACCTGTAATCCCAGCATTCGGGAGGCTGAGGCAGGAGGACTGCCCCAAGTTCAAGATTAGGCTAGGCTACATAGTAAGTTCAAAGCCAGCCTGAACTATATAGTGAGACCCTGTCTCAAAAAATAAAAAACATACACCGGGGATATAGTTCAGCGGCATAAGGGCCTGCACGGCAAGTGCAAGGCCCTGAGTTCGATTCCCAGTACCAAAATAAAATTTAAAAATGAATAAAAAATAAAAACATAGCCATGTGTGGTGCCACATGTCTGTATTCCCAGCACTCAGGAAGCTGAGGCAGGAGGATCGTTGTGAGTTTGAGGCCAGCCTGGGCTACAAAGTGAGCTCAAGGCCAGCCTGAACAGCATAGTGAGAATTTGTCTCAAAAAACAAACAAACAAATAAAAACAAGCAAGGGAAAAAAGGTGGGCAAAGAATGTAGTTCCATGGCAGAGTGTTTGACTTCCATGTGTGAGGCCCTGGGTTCCATCCCCAGCACCATGAAAAAAAAAAGTAAAAGTAAATGTCACCACTTCCAGGGCAGAGTCCTCATCCAGGGACAGGCCAGGGTGCTAGGATTTCTACCCCGGGACTTCATGTTTGTGCATCTCGTCCACTAGAGGCTGCAAGAGCCCTGGGGCCAGGACCACTTCTGACCTGTTCTCCACAGAGGTTCCCATCCTGGAACCTGGGGCAGTGCTTGGCATACAAGGGGCTTTTGTTGATTTAATGAATGAAGGAAGGAATGGAAAAATAAGTAAAAATAGCCAGGACATTGCGGGGGCAAAGGGTAAGACTATTACGACAGTTTTTTTTTTTTTTTTTGGTACTGGGAATCGAACTCAGGACCTTGCAGTTGCTAGACAAGCGCTTATGCCACTAAGCTACATCCCCCGCCCTTAAAACAGATTTTAAAGCTTCCCTGCTTAAAACTGTGTGACACTGGTAGATACAATACTGTATCCAGACTTAACAATGGAATAGAAGAGCAAATATCTACCTAGGAAGACAATTAAACTGAGCCTCCTAAATGCTGGGATTACCCCAGCCTTTTTTTTTTTTTTTTAAACTAGAAGTTGAACCGAAGGAAATCTGAACTACATTCCCATAAATTGCCAGAAGACTGACTTCAAACTTGTGATCTTCCTGTCTCATCCTCCCAAATAGCTAGGATTACTGTTGGGTGCCACCATGTGCAGCTACAGGCCAATTTTTTTTTGGAGGGAGGACTAGGAATTGAACTCAGGACCTCAAGCTGCCAAGCAGGAGCTGTGCCACTGAGCTATATTCCTGACTCCAGACCAATTTTTAAAAATCCAGACTAACAGAAAATTTAGCCCAGTAAACAGACAGTTCACAGAAAAGGACATATAAATGGCTCTTAAGTGAGAAACCCAGGGCTAGTAGAACATAGGAATCCTAGCTACCACACAGGCTGAGGCAGGAGGATCCCAAGTTTGAGGTCAACCTGGGGAATTTAGTGAGACTGTCTCAAAATGAAAAAGAAAGGCTGCCAGGTGTGGTGGCGCATGCCTGTAATCCCAGCACTTGGGAGGCTGAGGCAGGAGCATCTTTGCAAGTTTGAGACCAGCCTGGGCTACAAAGTAAGCTCAAGGCCAGTGTGAACTGCATAGCGAGACCCTGTCTCAAAAAGACAAAAAAAAAAAAGCAAAGAAAGAAAAGTGCTAGGGTCCAAGGTGGTGGGGCACACCTGTAGCCCTAGCACTTGGAGGCTGAGGCAGACCCTGAGTTCAATGCGTAGCGCCCCCTCACCACTGAAAAACCTAAGATAACCACCTTCGTTCAGGATGAGGAGGAAAATGCACATTGGACGTCCTCTGAGAACCTTTAAAACCACTCGGGAGACTAGAAAAGATCTCCGCGTTGGACCAGGCTTGCCCAAGGTTTGGAGGAACAGCTTGGACCTCGGGTGTGGAAACCACACCTTACGCGGGCGTGTTGGGAGACCTTTCCAGACAGAGGGAGGACCTGCCCTTCGCCCCAGCCGCTCTGGAGACTGGGCAGAGAGACACTCGCCCGGAAGGAGGCGATTCGTGCACTGCACACGTATCACAACTCTGTTCAAGACAGCACAACGCTGGAGGCCAGCTACAGGTCCGGGTTGTCCCAGGAGGCGTGGCTAGGCCCGAGAGCTCCACTGCTGCCACAGGGTGGCTGCTAGAGGGCAGTGCTGCTGCTCCGGCCTGCTCTGAACTCGCACCTAAGTCCTCTCCTGCCTGGCCCTTAGGGCATCCCGCCTCCAGCTTAGCCTTTGCGTGGAGAGGCCTCGCCACACCCTGGCAGGCCCTGCCGCTCCACTGCTCTGTGTCCTCCATAGCTTCCAGCTCCCTGGGACAAAGTCCGGCCCCCCAGCCCTACCCCTCTGTCACCCTCAGACACCCAGGTCTCGTCAGCCACACTCAATCCCACAATTCCTCTTGCGTGTGGGGTCTGCTCCCGCCTGGGACTCTGGCTGGCAGCCCGCTCTTTCTGCCAGGTTAGCCAGAGCTCTCCTCCAGCCTCCCACACGGCCGCATCAGATCACAGGGCTCTACCTGAGCTGCAGGGTTTTCAAGTAAAGGACCCGAGTCTGCTAGGACCCCGCACCACCCAACACCAGGGCCTGGAGCGTGGCACGCCTCAGAACACAGATGATAGATGCATGGGAGGAAGAGACGCACAACAGAAGTCAGGTGTGGTGGCTCAGGGCTGCAATCCCAGCAGTCGGGAGGCTGAGGCAGGTGATTTGCCACAAGTTCAAGGCCAGCCTGGGTGACACAGTGAGTTTAAAGCCAGTCTGAACTACACAGAGAGACCCTGTCTCAAAACAAGAAAGAAGGAGTGGGAAGAAGGAGAAGGAGAAGAGAAAGAAATGAGAGAGACAGAAAAACCCAACCCAGGGGAACACTTAGCAAGAGACACAGCAAGGAGGAAATGCACACAGGGACAGGGGACAGAGGTCAGCTGCCTGGCGACCTGCAGGGAGTAGTGGAGGGCGGAGCAGGCCGGGTGCAGCGTGAGGTTCTGGAAGGGCTGGATCCGGGGCTGGCCCCAGCCCCTCGCTGAACTCCACTCCACCATCAGCATGTGGTCGGTAAACATCTTCCCAAACACCAGCGGCTCGCTGGAGCCGGGCTTCTTTTGTGGCTCTTGTGTCATTTGCATTTGCAGGTCTGCAGCCTGAAAGAGATGGGGCATCCAGGTGTCCCTGGGGCTGGCTAGTCTGTAAACTGAAAAACTACAACTCCCATTAGGCACTGGGATCGCAGACCCACGCAGAAGGCCCAGACACCCCAGAGGCCTCTGGGAAATATTGCTGCACTGCTTGCCCACTGCCTGGTGGCGGGTTATTACGCCACCCTGCCAGCCACCCTTACTTTGGGATGTGAGATTCTTGGAGAGCCCCAAATCCAGCTGCCAGCTACTCCCCACTCAGACCCAGGGGTTCAGGCCCAGCCTCCTCCCTCAGCCCCAGGGGGCCAGGTCCCTGCTTTCACCTTGAAGTTGGAAGAAGCACATCTTCTGGGACCACACAGAAGCCAAGGGACAGGAAGAAGTTTTCGGGCCCATATCTGAGTGGGGAGAGCAATGCGGGAGGTGATGGGGTCAGTGGAGCGAGCCAGGACCCTGCCCTCGTCCCGCGCCTGCCCAGGAGTTCCTTGGGGCCAGTGTCGCAACCCCTGTGCACTCCGGAGCCTTTGCCTGGCCAGCCCTCACCACGGTCCCACCGGGTCATCCCTCATCCCTCGAAAGCGCCAGCCCAGCTCCAAGCCCTCCTCCATGCTGGGCAGAGTCCAGCGCAGGCGCCTCCCACCCCAGCGAACTTTGGCCCCAGCCCGGGAGCAGCTCAGACGGAGGACCACGCAGGAAGGCGTGCAGGTGAGTGAAGGCCTCGGGGGCGGGGGGACGGGGTCCCCAGTCCTGACCCCCGTTAGAAAAGTAAGGGTCCTGTCTATGGCCATTCCGCCCTGAAGGCGCCCGATCTCGACTGATCGCGGAAGCTAAGCAGGGTCGGGCCTGGCTAGTACTTGGATGGGAGAAAAGTGAGGGTCCTGAGGCCAGGTTCCCCAAGAACTCCAGGGTGTAGGCCCCCGCCCCCAGCCTCAGTCCCTACGATTTCCACTGTTTTGTTTTGTTTTGTTTGTTGGTACTGGGAATCGAACTCAGGACCTTGCACCTGCCAGCTGAGGCACTTGTGCCGCTGAGCTATATCCCTGCCCCGATCTCCACTGTTAGAACCTGGGGCGCGGACTCCTGATGCCCCACCCTGCACAGGACCCCAGCAGCCCGGCAGCTCCACTCCCTGCACAGCTTGGTGGAGACCTGGGGCCACCGCAGTCGCCCAGGACAATGCTCAGACCCCCTGGTCCTTCTCCTCTCCAAGGAGGGTAGGGAGAGCAGGTCTGGCTGTGTCCAGCAGGGTGACCTCTGACCTCACGATGTCCCCTTCTGGACCCCTACAGAGAGACTGCTGGACCTCGAGGTTGAGGGAAACAGGATGGCCTTTCCGCTCCCACCCTGTGAGCTGGGACAGCGACACTGACAAGTAGGTGAGTCACAGGGAGCCGCAATCTGGGCCACCAAGCCTGACAGGCAGCCTGGGGGTACAGGGCCCAGGGCTTCTGGGATGGTCAGGGTGCGCTGCCTGCATGGCCGCCAGTGGTGACAGGCAGCCCGCCCGGCCCTGTGGCCATATGTCTGCCCAGTAGGGGACAGAACGCTCCCTATCTGGTGAGAAGGCAGAGACAGCACAGGGCAGCCAGCACATCGTGGCCAGGACAGCAGAGGGAGCCAGAAAAGGTAAATAACTAAACGGGACTCAGAGAGGGAACTGGACAAACCAAAGACACAGAAGCGGAGCACACGGGCTGAAAAGAAATCAAGGCAAAGGGATGGTGAATAAATCTGAGCATAAATCGAGAGGCTAAACTGAGAGAGGGAGAAGCCGGGCGTGGCGGTACATGCCTGTAATCCCAGCACGTGGGAGGCTGAGGCAGGAGGATTTTTGTGAGTTTGAGACCAGCCTGGGCTACAAAGTGAGCTCAAGACCAGCCTGAACTGCATATCGAGACCCTGTCTCAAAAAGATAAAAAAAGAGAGAGAGAGAAAGAAAGAAAAAAGAGAGACAAACTCAAGAAAAGAAATAAAAGCTGGGCGTGGTGGTGCACACCTGTAATCCCAGCACTTGGGAGGCTGAGGCAGGAGGAGTTTTGTGAGTTTGAGACCAGCCTGGGATACAAAGTGAGCTCAAGACCAGCCTGAACTGCATATTGAGACCCTGTCTCAAAAAGACCAAAAAAAAAAAGCAAGCAAGCAAGCCTGGAGAAATTAGAAAAGTGACTGACAGTGGGATAAAGAGAAGCCAGGAGACAGAATAGGAAGAAGTAGACAAAGGTTAGATGACAGGGCCTAGGGTGTAAGTGAGACCAGTGAAATGAGGAAAGATTGCAAGAGAAACTTTCTCAGAGACGCTCAGAGCCAGACACAGTAGTCTTATAATCCCTGCACTCTGGGAGGCTGAGGGAGGACGATCTCAAATTCAAACTCAGGGCAATTTAGTGACTTAGCAAAACCCTGTCTCAAAATAAAAAATTAGAAGCCAGGTGTAATAGTGCATGCCTGTCATCCCAGCATTCAGGAGGCTGAAGCAGAAGGGTCACCATGAGGCCACCCTGGGCTACGAAGTGAGACAGAGAGAGGGAAGGAGAGAGAGAGGCCACACAGTTGGGCATGGTATCCAGAAGATTATAAATCCCACTGGCCACAGACACCCAATGACCATGGAAAAAGCCCCCTTCATCCTCCTGGACACTTCTCTGAGGCCAGGGCCCTCCTCTAGGCTCAAGGAAGGCAGCAATCACCCCACAGCCCAAGCTGTGAGGGTGGCCTCCAAAGCCATGCCTGGAGGCCGGGGGACTATGGGGACAAAGTGTCAACGACCCGTGGCCCAATCAGGAATGAAGAAGGTGCAGGTGGTGCACGGGCCCCAGCTCTGTGACGTGATGGAGCCTCCTCCTCCACATCCCGTACAGCCCAGGGCCGCTGTCCCCAGCACAGCTCAGGAGTGTGACCATCGGAGTCTAGCGGCGTCCCTGCCAACACCCAGCACCGACCTCCACACTCACAGCCAGGGAGGGCTGTGCACGCATCATAGCCAGGGAGGCTCCTCGTCATAGTGCGGTGCTGTCCTTGTCTTGGCCTTGACTGTCCCTATCTCAGCCCAAACCGTCTCATGAAACCCCAGGACAGCTCCTGTCATAGCCCTAATGCATCCCTGTCACAGCCCCAGCAGGACTTGGACCTAATCACACCTAAAATGGCCCTCCTGGTAGCCCAGGACTCTCTCTGTCACACTGCAGTGCTACGACACTCACATCCCAACACCAGAGTGTCCCTGTCATTTCCCAGGACTGTCCCAACCAGAGTCAAGTCCTGTGTCAACACAGCTCAGGGCTGTCCCCTGCAAAGCCCACCACCCTCTCCCCTGCAGCCCAGCCGGCCCTGTCCTATCCCAGGGTTTTCCCAGTCAGTCACTTGGACCCAGAGAAAGGAAAAGCCGGGCCTGCTGTTCACCATGGGGTGAGACTCAGATAAGTGTGGTGTAAAGCAAACAGGAACCTTTCTCTCAAGGTCGTGCTGCAGCTGTAAAGGCTTGTACTCCCCAGACCGTTTCCCTTTTCACTTAGAAACCTTGTGGTCTTTTTCTTTTTCCGGTACCGGGAATTGAACTCAGGACCTAGGGCTTGCCAGACAGGCGCTGTGCCGCTGAGCTAAATCCCCAGCCCAACCTTGTGGTCTTGAACCATCACTCGGAAACCCCGCTGCTGGACGTCACATCTGCAAGCCTGGGTGGTCGGACTGGCCTGGAGGATCTGTCGCCTCCACAGGACAGAGGGACGCTGCAATTTCTACACAGGTGCTAAGCCTCCGATACACATTCCACATGTGTCTCCATCTACCTAAAGGTCCACAGGTATGAACTTGGGTCCGATCTGAGGTCGAGCTCTGCGCCTGCTCCACGCCAGCTCCTAAAGGTCCCGGGCTCTGAGCCTCGGCCCCAAGAAGGACTCCTCCCTAATCCTGCAGGGCTGCGGTCCCCAAATCATGACCACACCACCCCCGTCCCGTGCCTCTCCCAGCACAGCCTCTTCCTCTGTGCTTCCCGTCTCCCACCTCCCAGCCCAGACCCCTTCCCACCAACTACCTCCCCCACCCCGTTAGAGCCTTGCGCTCCCTCCAGCGGGGCACCATCCTCCTCGGCGCCCCAGCGGAACCCGAGGGCCAGGGGAGCTGTGCCAAGCCGGAAGGACTGCGCTCCAGTGGTCCTCCCGGAAGTGCGCCTCCCCCCAGAGCCCCCCCCGCCCCAGGTGCTGGGACGCGCACCCACCTGCCCTAGTGCAGCTGCGGCCATGATCAGTGCGGCTGGTAACTGTGCCCGCCTGGGGCCCCGGCCTGAAGAAAGCCGTTCCGGCCACGCCCTGCTCACGCCCCTCCCGCAGGATGACTGCGCGCGCGGGGCGGGAGGGGGGTGTTCTGCCAGGCCTCCAGTTTTCTGGCCCTGCTGCCGAGCACATGCATAGGAAGGGGAAGAAACTCAAAAACAACCACCCGCCTAGCCAAGCCCCCGCTCCTGCTCCCTCCCAGCCACACTCACGCAAGAACCTTCCCGCAGTGCTTATTTATTCACTAAGGCCGTTGTCAAGTGGTGCCCAGGATAAGCAGACGGGGAAAATCCAGGGACAGGCAAGGAGGGCAAAGCTCCGTTTATCTCACTCTTTGTAAAAAGGAAGAGCTCGCAGGGACTCGGTGAATGCACAAAGAAATGCGCCCCGGGAAGTGGCCTGGGGGCGGGGTGAGCAAGAGGAGCTGGGCTCTGCAACCTGTGTACATCCCGCGGGAGCATGTAGTTTTCCTTAACATCGAGGAGATACGTGTGTTCTTTGTCCCTGCGACAAAAGCACCCGGGGTTCGCCTTTTTCTAGTCTTTCATTGGTGAAGCCCCCCTAAATCCTCGCCCCTCTTTCCCACTCATCCATGAGCCTCTGATTACAGCCCCTTCCAGCGCCTCTCCCGGATGCAGGGCCCAGGCAGTTAGCCAATCACACCCTTCAGTTTTTTTCTGGCCTGGGACAGTATGTGACCCCTAGTCACTGCTCAGTCACCCACCGCCCCCAGACTCCTCCATCCATCCAGATCACCTTGACACTAAAATCCCATCTCTGCTATGTCCCCCACATCTAAGCCCGGCGTGGTGGCACACGCTTGTAATCCCAGCACTCGGGAGGCTGAGGCAGGAGGAACACTTCTGAGTTCGAGACCAGCCTCGGCTACAAAGTGAGCTCAAGGCCAGCCTAAACTGCATAGCGAGACCCTGTCTCAAAAAGACAAAAAAAAAAAAAAAACCCAAAACACCCCACATCTGGTCCCTGGGCCATTGTGCCTCCATAATTTTGGGAGTTTCTCCCTCAAATTCTACTCCACCCACGCATTGTGTCCACAGATCCTGCTCCAGAGTCACTTTCCTCAACCTCAAACGGCTACAGGCGGGGGCGGCCACACCACACACCCTCCCCCCCCTCCCCCGCAGATATTGCTGTTTTTCTTTTCATGCCGGAGTCCCCCGCCCGCCCCACCTCCCAGCCCCAACGGCAGGGGCGGTGCCCACAGGCCGCCCCGCCCCCCGCCTCGGCCAATCAGCGGCTGCCGCACACCCGCGCCAGGACCAACCGGCGGCAGCCCGCAGCCCCGCCCCCTCACCTACAGCAGGCGGCCCGGGATCCGCACCTCTGTGCCTTCCTTCCCTAAACCCCGGAGGCCCGGCTGCAGCCCCGTCTCCCTCTGACCCAGCTGTCTCAACCTTGCTTCCCTGGGGCGGCCACCTTCTCACTGCACCGGCCCGGATCTCGAAGCTCCTTTTCCCTTAGGGCCAAGAATAAAGAGGCCTTTTTGCTTCTCTTCTATTATCTCCTAATGAGCGCTTAATTTACCTCCCGTGGGGGCTTTATAATTAGCGCCCAGGTAAAGCCAAATCGCTCTACCTGGCGACAGGCATTTAGCCACAGACACTGCCACAAGGCCGGAGGGAGGCGTGGGCGACGGGGTGGAAGCGTGGTGTGGCCAGGTTGTACAAAGGGCGGAGAATAAACACGGCGACACTCCGCTTCGCAAGCTGCTCTGCTGGGAACCCGGGGTAGCGGGGGACACGCGGGGTGGTCGGGACCTTCCCAAGCAGGCGTCGAGTCTACGGGGCAGGGGGCTGCGCCGGGGGGTGGGAGTCACAGGCCGGAGAGTGCCGTGGGAAGTCAGGAGGAAGCGTGGGGACCTCCAGAGGGGTGTCCGGGCTGGCTTTGCTCCCGTACCCCAGCTCTGCGCCCCCGGTCAGGCGGAGCTCGATGCCTGTGCAGAAGGTGGCTTCCGAGGCCAGGAACACGGCTGCGGCGCCCACCTCAGAGGGCTGGCCCATGCGGCCCAGGGGCTGGGGAGAGAGGCGGGGAAGGGGGTCAGGAGGCGCCCCACGATCGCCCCGCCATCGCCGTGCCCCGACGCCTCCGCTCTGCGCCTACCTGCGCCAGCACCCCCTTCAGGATCTCAGCCTTGGGGTCTGGCGAGGAGGCGGCCAGCATCTCCCATAGCGGGGTCCAGATGTTCCCTGGGGAGATACTGGGCAGGGAGGGAGGGACAGGGCGTCGCAGATGCAGCTCCGGGCCGCACCGGCGGCCCATGGGGCTTCGCCTCCCCCGAGCTGCGGCTCACCAATTGACTCGGACGCCATACTTGCTCTCGTCCAAGGCCCAGGATTTGGTCATGGCTGTGAGTGCGCCCTGCGGAGAAGCCAGGGCCAGAGTCAGTTCAGAAGAGGGGGGCCGCCCATCCCCCACTCCAGCCCCCGCTCCCCGGGGCAGGGGCAGCGGCGTGGAGGCGCCCGGCCCTCCCCACAGACCGCTTTCAAAGGCGCCAGGCTCTGTGGCTTGGGAGAAACTGGGATGGAGCAATTTGTCACCAGCTGTGCCTCGGGGGTGACTCTGGGAGTCGGATGTAGGACTTTCCCAGGCTCTTGCACCCAAAGAGTCTGGGCTTGTCACAGGGCAAATTGGGGCACCCCCGAGGCAGGAAGGTTGGGGTTCTGGGTTTGAGGCCAGTGTGGGCTGCACAGAGAGACCCAAGAGCCCATCTCAGACAAACAAACAAACAAAGAGGTTGGGGTAGCCGGGTGTGGTGGTGCCCACTGTAATCCCAGCGCTTGGGAGGCTGAAGCAGGAGGATCATTGAAAGTTCAAGGCCCACCTAGTGTGTTGAAGGTCACCTGAACTGCAATAGCCCAGGTCACCGAGGCCAGCCCCAGCAGTGTTCTTTTGGTTAATCTTAAGCTCCTTCCCCACCAGCCCTGACACAATCAAATGCCTGGGGAAGCTGACAGTCCACGAAGTGGCTTAGTTGAGAAAGAGCAGGGCCCTGACCCTAAGACAGAGGAACAGAGAATGGGCTGAGAGAATCTCAGGCCTGGGCCCGCACCCGTGGAGTGGGCTGTGCCCTTCGTGGGGGCGGCTGGGGCTTCCACCCCGTCTCAGAAGCAGAAATGGTCCCTGTCCCGGGAGGCAGTGGTCCCAGTTTTCTGAAAGCCCTCTCTTGAGTTTGTCCTAAAATCTGCCTAATAAACCCTTCCCACACTGCACACAGCTGAGTCCTGAAAACTTTTTCCACCCCAGGAGTCAGTGAGCCTGCAAACGTTTTCTACAAAAGGGTTCATTAGGTTCCTCATCTCAGCTTCCGGGACCTCTCACACCCAACCCAGTGACAGCAGGGTCGCAAGGCAGGGGCAGGGGCAGGGGCTGGCATACCTTGGTGGCGACATAAGGCAAGGCCTGGGACTGGCCGATGGCCCCACACAGGCTGGAGATGTTGATGACGTTGCCCTGGCTCTTCCGCAGGTGGGGGAGGGCGAGCTGGAGACACAAAGGCAGAATCAGCCAAGGGTACCCTGACCTGGTGACAGTGGCCCACAGGGATTGCACCTGGCACTTTCTGTGGTTTGTCCTTGTGTCTCTGGGTCTTGACACGTAGGAATCTCTCCTTGTCTAGAAGGGAATTTTTTGGGGGGCGGGGGTTGGTTTTTTGAGACATGGTCTAGCTGTGTAGCACAGGCCGGCCTCAAACTCCCAGCGATCCTCCTGCCTCAGCTTCCCATGGGTTAAGATGACAGACGTGTACCACCATGCCCAATGGTAGAAGAGAATTTTTGCCCTGTCTCTCTCTCTCTCTCCTCCCTCTTTTCTGGGTGTCTGACCCCATCTCTCTGGCTCTTTATATGTTACTCAAAATCCTGTCCCCAACAAGCCAGAAAAGCCTGGAGAGAGACCCAGACAGCTATATATTTTGCAAAAATAAATTTCTTGGAGGGCAAGTTTTCTCTGTGTTCAAAACAGAAGCGGAGACCTAAGTGAATTAGGACCTATTCTCTGCGAACATGTCCCCCCTGGAGTCCCTCCTCCCGGTATGTGGGACAGGAAGCACAACCCTGGATGAACTCAACTCTATGCTTTCTGCCGCCTGCCCGGGGCAGCTGAGCTGGCCAAGGGCGGGGCCTGTTCCTGCCATCCAGAGAACGCCACAGCAGGTGCAGGGGCGCTGTCCCAGGGGCCTAAATGCTCCCCTCTCAGGCCGGCCCCTGCCAGCTCTGGTTTTATTGCTTTTTTTTTCTTTGCTTTTTTTTTTTTGAGACAGACTCTTGCTATATAGCCCAGGCTGGCCTTGAACTTGCTGCCCTCCTGCCTCAGCCTCCCACGCATGTTGCTGGGATTAAAGGCCTGTGCACCACACCCCGGTCCCCTCAGCCTGCAGCAGGTGGGTGGCCCTTTGCTGTTAGCAACCACCACCTTCAAAACGAAACATAAAAAACAACCAGCATCTCCTAACTCTGCCCGAGCCCGCTCTGGAGCTCCTGACCCGCTCCTGACATCTAATTCAATGCCTTCCCAACAAAAGCCACCCTCTTGTTTCCCCAAAGCCTCTGCAGCACTGACTTCCCCGAGCCTAGGTTTCTCCTCTACCCATCAGGAGCTCCGGCAAAGGTATTTCTGAGAAGCACGGATACACTGCTCCTCACCTCCAAGATCCTTCGGCAAGTGTTTACTGAGCACCTACTATGTACAGGACACTGAAGCAAAGGCCAGGGACACCGCACAGGGAGCCTCCTGCCCCAACAGAGGCGGGACACACGGGAGGCCAGTGTGTCAGGAATGTGCCCGGGTGTCATCAGGACCAGGGAGGGGGCAGGGCTGGGTACATTTCAAAATGCAGTTTGGCAAGGAGTCACCTGAACACAGACACAGAGAACGGCGTGGGGGAGAACTCGCCAAGCGGAAGGACAGCAAGTGCCCAGGCACGGGGCCAGGGCATGGGAGGCCTTGAAGGCCACCGCCTCTCACTTGAACAAGTGTGACTGTCCTAGAGATTGAGCTGCATCCCTGGCCCTTTATAAAGAGATTCTTAGCTCAGCAGCAGGCACAGTGCCTGCCTGGCAAGCGCAAGGTCATGAGTTTGATTCCCAGCACCGCAAAAAAAAAACAAAAAAAAAGAAAGAAAGAAAGAAATTCTTTCATTTTGAGACAGTGTCTTGCTAAATTACTAAATTCCCCAGCCTGAGTTGACACTTGTAATCCTCCTGCCTCAGCCTCCCAGAGTACTAGGATTATAGAATACTCCACTACCTCGCTCAGCTCCTTTTTTGGTAAATTTTCAATCTACAGTTAGTTGAATACAAAAATGTGGAACCTATGGATATGGAGGGTTGTGTGTGTGTGTGTGTGTGTGTGTGTGTGTGTGTGTGTGTGTGTGTGTGTCCAATTGTTAGATACAAATGATGGGTGTATGGATATATACTATAGGCTTTCTTTCTTTCTTTCTTTCTTTTGTCTTTTTGGGACAGGGTCTTGCTATGCAGTTCAGATTGGCCTCAAGCTCACTTTTTAGCCCAGGTTGGCCTCGAAATTGCAATGATCCTCCTGCCTCAGCCTCCCAAGTGCTGGCATTACAGGCATGCGCCACCATGCCCAGCACTTACTTTCTTTCTTTTTTAACTTTAAGCATTACTGGACGTGGTGCTACATGCCTATAATCCCTGTCCTTGGGAGGCTGAGGCAGGATGATCTCCAGTTCAAGGCCAGCCTGGGCTAGGTAGCAAGACCTTGTCTCAAAGGTTTTGTCTCAAACACACACACACACAGCCTTTCTAATTCCCTGGTGGTTTTAAGGACGTTCAGAGGGGCCCACCTAGGCTAGTGGCTGCTCTTCTTGGGAGGCTGAGTCTCGCATCCTGTGTCTCCAACCCTGACCCTTGCCTTCCTGCTGCTTCCTCAAGCTGTGTCTGCCCGGGAGGCAGGAATGAAGCCAGGGACCTGCCCGCCCGCACAGGCGGGCCACAAAGGAGCCCTGACAACTTCATCAAAGCGAACCCAGAACCTGACCTCTCCTCACCCTGGCGGCGCTCAGTGCCACGTCACAAACATTCCGCGCGTGGCCGCCAGAGGGCGCCGGCAGCCCGCCCCCAGCTCGCGGCTCCACCTCTAAGCGGGGCCCATCTAGGGCCCCAGAGGCCCTGCAGCATCTGGGCTCCTATGTGCCTTGCCCTAGCTCCCGCACTACTCTGCGCTGTCCCTCCCAAGCGCCAGGTAAGCACAGCCCACCCCAGGGCCTTTGCACCAGCTGCTCCTCTATGGTAACCACTCTTCTCCACACCTCTTTTCAGCCTTGACTCAAAGGTGCCCCTCAGAGAGCCTTCCTGACAGGCTTCCTGGTCCAAAAGACCACACAGACTTGCCTTTAAGAAAACCCTTGCCAGCTGGGCATGGTGGCGCACACCTGTAATCCCAGCACTCGGGAGGCTGAGGCAGGAGGATCCACACAGAGGCCAACCTGGGCTACATAGTGAAACCCTGTCTCGAAATCAACAACAACAAAAATTGGAAGGTTCCTGAGAAGGCTGGGCTGGTCATTACACAAGGGGCTTTGGCTGGACACAGGGCTTCGCACTTCCCAGGGTCAACAAGAAACGTGGCCTTTGGGAGGAGAGCAAACCAAGCAAGGGAAGACATCAGCTCTGGGATGAAGTGAGCCTCGAAGTGCAGTGGTCAGGGGCGGCGCCGCCTCACCTTGGTCAGGGTGTAGGAGCCCAGCAGGTTTAGTTCCAGCAGCTGCCGGAAGTCCTGGGCTGAGGTATCTTCTAGCAACTGCGCTGGTGGATCTGGGAGGAGAGGAGAGGACAGCAATGGGGAAGAGGAGGGCGTGGCAGCCAAGGGGTCAGGGCCACATGCCAAGGACTGGGCAGCATCAGGGTTAAGGAAGAGGGATCTTTGGGGAGCCAGGTGTGGTGGTGCACATCTGTGACCCCAGCACTTGGGAGGCTGAGGCAGGAAGATCTCTGTGAGTTTGAGACCCTGTCTCAAAAACCAAAACCAATAAAGAAAGAAAAGGGGCTGGGGATATAGCTCAGTGGCACAGCACCTGCCCGACAAGTGGAAGGTGCCGAGTTCTATTTCTGGTACCAAAAAGAAAGAAGGAAATGTGCTAATAGCCACCCCTCCATGGGAGAATTCTAACTGACTCATCTATAGCTATAAACCTAAAACTAAGAAAAAAAAAGATTATTATAATCCAGCATAGCTGATACATCTAAAAGTGCACTCTGCTTTAGTGTAATTACTTTATGTGTCTGTCTGTTTGTTCACCTGTGTTTGCAGTAACTGGCCTTGGGCCTGGCTCCTGCCGGACAAAGGTCCCGCGGGAGCTGAAAAACAAACTTTAAATCAGTGTGCTTCTATGCTGGGCGTGGTGGCGCACACCTGTAATCCCAGCACTTGGGAGGCTGAGGCAGGAGCATCGTTGCAAGTTTGAGGCCAGCCTGGGCTACAAAGTGAGTTCAAGGCCAGCCTGAACTGCATAGTAAAACCCTGTTTCACAGCCTGTCCTTGCCCTTCCCAGCAGGTAAGACCAATAAAGTAACCATGAGCAGTGCCTGTTCAGACTGCTCTGTGTTTCCAGGCCTCACGAAGCTGACAGATGACACGGGATAACCCCACGTCCCAGCCAGCGAGGCACGGCTGTGTCAGGTGTGCAGACATCTGAGTGTGGACAGATGTGGTCATAAATCCTGCAGCAACACCTGCTGCTATGCTCGATTTTCTTTATTCTGCAAGCTGGCAAATAGACCTCTGAAACCTCACAGGGTTCACCTAGGCCAGCCCCCTCGCCTTAGTGAATGCCAGAGCAGGGATTATTGTGTTTGTTTTTAGAATTTTTTTGGTTTTCTTCTTTTTTCTTTTTTTTCTTTTTTTTTTTTTTTTATACCATGCTGATTTTTTCACAGTTGCTTTGTTTTTTTTTTTTTGTGGGTACCGGGAATCAAACTCAGGACTTTGCACTTGCCAGGCAGGCACTTGTGCCCCTGAGCTATATCCCCAGCCCTTTATTTTTTGGGCACCGGGGTCAAACTTACGACCTCGCGCCTGCAGGCAGGCACCATGCCGCTGAGCTAAATCCCCAGCCCCTTGGTTTGGTTTTTTGAGACCGGATCCTACCCTGTATTCCAGGCTGGTCTTGAACTCACTATGTAGCCCAGCCTGGCCTCAGACTCACAGCGATCCTCCTGCCTCGGCCTCCTGAGTGCTGGGCTGACAGGGGTGCGCCGCCACAGCCAGCTTGACAGCCAGGGTTTCAGGCCACGGGTGAGTGTTCACAGCTGCACTGCCCCACCAGAGTGAACACAGAGAGGGATGCAGCAGATCGGGGATCGAGGCCGGGGAGGGGGAGCTGAGGTGCAGAAGGTGCAGTGGAGGCAGGAGGTGGGCAAATGGCCAGGGAGAAAGGTTACAGGCCGTGAGACTCACGGTAGCCAGCGTTGTTGACCAAACAATCCAGGCGGCCGAATCGGCGGACGGTCTCAGCAATCAGGGTCTGAGGAGAGAGGGACAATCCTGGGGGGCCCCGCAGGGCCAAGCCCAAAGGGATGGCGGGGAGGGGACAGGGGCGAGGGCCAGGGACACACCCAGCATCACAGCTTGGCAGAAAATGAGGCTGGAGCCCAGGGCCCCAGGGGGCTGGGCAGAGCAGTTGTCTCCCTAGAAACCAGGGAGCAGGGGACAGAGACCCAGAGAAAGCAGACAGGGACAGTAACCAAAAGAAACAGATTAGCCGGGCATGGTGGCGCACGCCTGTAATCCCAGCACTCAGGAGGCTGAGGCAGGAGGATCCTTGCGAGTTCGAGACCAGCCTGGGCCACAAAGTGAGCTCAAGGCCAGCCTGAACTGCAGAGCAAGACCCTGTCTCAAAAAAGACAAAAACAAAGACAAAAACAAAGGAAACAGATTAGATGGGAACCCATAACCGGGAAGGAAACTGCCCCAGGAGTCAGAGGGCTTCCTCCGCTGCCATCCGTGTGACAGCTATGATGGAGAGGAAGGAGCGCCATCCAGGACCAGCAGACAGGACAGCGGCAAGGGCAGACCTGGGGACACAGCCAGATGGGGGTGGACGTTGCTGGAAGGCGGGTGTAGACAGTGTCGCGCTCACCCGCAAGTCCTCCTCCCGAGTCACGTCGCAGCGGATGAAGACCGCACCGGGCAGCTGCTGCTCCAGGACCCGCGCGTTGGACTCTGCAGGGACAGAGGAGGGGCTGGAGCCAGGGTCCGAGGGAGGAGGGGGCCGGACCCCCAGGTCTGAGGGAGGAGGGTGTAGGGCAGGGTTAGGGACCCTCACTCACCATCCTTGTCGCAGATGACGACGTGTGCCCCACTTTCAGCTGCAGGGAGAGAACAGGTCGTCCCCCTCAGCCGTCAGCCAGACCCGTGCTGCCCTCTTGTGGCCGCGTGAAGTGGGGCCACTATCGTCCTCCCCTCGTGACCCCAAAGTCTCATGACGATCCCCGGGACAAAGGGCGGAGACCTAACACACTCTCCTGCTGGCCTCGCCAACTGCCTGCCAGGGTGCCCTTGAGCCCCCATCTGCGGGTTCCGGAGTAAACCCCAAGCCAGGAGGCTCATGTTCCCTGAGCCGCCCCTGGTAGCCATGGTAACAGCCCCAGAAAGTGAGGAATTTGTTTTGGACACCAGCCCAAAAACTCTGGCCCTGGGCTCTCACCACACACTCTCCTTCAGCAATGAAAATGGACTTTAATTTTTTCTTGTCTTTTTGAGACAGGGTCTCACTATGCAGTTCAGGCTGGTATTGAACTCACTTTGTAGCCCAGGCTGGCCTTGAACTTGCAAGATCCTCCTGCCTCAGCCTATTGAGTGCTGGGATTACCCTGCAACATCATGTCCGGCTTTTTTTTTTTTCTTGGTATGGGGAATCGAACTCAGGGCCTGTGCTTGCCAGGCAGGCATTTATGCCCCTGAGCTACATCCCCAGCCCAGACTTTTTTAAAAGAAGAACCCAGATTTCAGGTTCTTCCACTCCCCTGCCACCCCTCCCACCCTTCCCACCTACCCTGCAAGATGCCCATCCCCAGACCCCGCTCACCAAAGGCTCGGACGATCCCGGCTCCGATGCCGCGTCCGCCCCCTGTCACAACCACCACCTTCCCCGCGTAGCGCGCCCTCGACGCCATCCAGAGCCAGCCGCCTCCCCGGGCCTCTTCCCCCTCCACTGTGCAGGGGGGCCCCCGCGGGCAACGCATAAATAGGGGCCGAGCCCTGGAAGCCCGGCCCTGGGGGCGTAGCCAAGAAGGCCAGGGACCTGGGTAATTGGCCTCCACCTCCTTCCTCAGACCCAGGGTCCGCGCCCCAGCGCCTCCTCCCCACGTTTGGGATTCCTGAGCCCCGGGCCCTAGCTCCATCCGACCCAGCACTCGGATTATCTGTTCCCTCCTCTGTCAGACCCCATAACTGAGGATCCTGCAACCTGCTTCCCGGGGCCGGGCTCCTTACGCCCTCCCAACCCAGCCATCCACGATTCTACTTCCACTCCTTAGAAGCCACGGCGTCACATGCCCAGGACGTACGGAAAGAAAACTGCTGGCCGAAGGTTCAAAGTTTTAATCCAAATTTGAACAGTGGGAAAAACCAAACTTAACAGATACAAACCAGGCACCTCCCAGGCCACAGGTGGAGCCGGGACCACACTCCCAGGTGCCCGGAGTGGCCACAGATATCGGGGCGGGGCCTCCAGGCCTCGCCCCCAAGCACCGATCGGTCGGCCCCTCGCGGGCGCCGCTCAGAAGCTGGACTGCAGCAGGGTGACCCTCAGGGGCCACGCCCCCTCGTCGCGGCCCCCGGCGGGAGGGGCGGCCCCCGAGCCCCACGCGGGCTCCCAGGGGGCAGGGCCTCCGCCTCGCCCGCTCCCGCGCCCGGAGAATCCCGGGGAACCGGAGCTGGCGGCCGCGGGGGATCTCGGAGGCGAGGCAACCTGGGGCGCGGGGTCCGACCGAGCGGCAGAAGGGAGAGGGCCTTCGCCACAGTCCACACTCCCGGCTGGAGAGGCTGAGGGGGAAGGAGACCCGCACACGTTAGGACTCAGGACTCGGGGACCCCGACCCAGGAACCCACCCCGCAGAACACTGCTCTCAGACCTGGGAGCCCCGCCCCAGCGCTCCGCCCCGTCCCCCGGGATCCCCGCCCCGACTCCCACTTTCCAGACGCAGCGGTCCGGACCCTTAACCCACTGCTTCCTGAGACTCCGCTGCCGGCCTCGCAGGCTCCCTGGCCCTCTCCACGCTGACCCTGGTCCCCTCCTGCCTGCGACTCGGAACTCGCAATCCCTGCACACTGTCCTCAGCACGCGTGTCCCAGCGGGCCCAGACCCCTCCTGCCTAGGACTCGAAGCTTCCACCTCCCCCGCGTCCACCTAGGAGCCCGCCACCCCTAGTCCTTACCTGTCGTCAGTCTGCGCCACTGCGACGCCTCAGTGGCCAGGGCTTGGGACAGGCTGAGAACCTGCTCCCTGTGGCCATCGGATGTGGTCAAGTAACGGCTAGTGTTCCTGGGACTGAAAAGAGTAGCTTAGAAATAAGGAAAAAAGAAAAAGGTACGGGCATGGTGGCGCACGCCTGTAATCCCAGCACTCGGGAGGCTGAGGCAGGAAGATCGTGGAGAGTTCGAGGCCAGCCTGAGCTACAAAGTGAGCTCAAGGCCAGCGTGAACCGCCTAGCGAGACCCTGTCTCAGAAAGACAAGAAGAAAAAAGAAAAGAACCTGGGGAACCGGGGCGTTAGGTGATTTAGGTAGCGGCCGCGCGCTGCCCTCTGGGAGTTGTAGTCCCCAGCACGTGACAGCACTGACTTCGTTTGAACAGATACCCTGGGCATTATGGGATTTGTAGTCCAGTCACCGCCCCTCCCCACCCCCACCCAAGGTTACTGGAACCCCAGATGGAGGGGCGCGGTCTGACACCAGCCAAGAGAAGATGTGGGAACTGCAATGGACGACTTCTTGGTTTTGTTTCTGATGCCCCAAGAACTTAAGTGGCGATTGAAGTTTTGGAACCTGTAGTTCGGTACTCAGGAGGCCCTAATAACACTGGTCCTCGCCTCCCTTCTGTGTTGATTTTTCTTCACACCCCGCTCCAGTTCCTCACCTGCTCCAGGACCCTGAGCTTCTGAGCCATTTTACAGCTCCTAGGACAGCCTGGAAAGGAAGTGGGCCATTGGAGTCTGACCTGGAAGCCCCACCTTTTCATTTTGAAGAAGGGGGCTCAGAGAGGAAATCACGCATGCGCGTACACACACACACACACACACACACACACACACACACACACACACACACACACACACACTCACTCACTCACTCACTCACTCACTCGCAGGTGCTTTCCTTGTAATAGGGAAGAAAATCAATTGCTCTAATTGCTCTAATAATTTTTTTCATAGCTCAGCGGCACAACCGCCTGCCTGGCAAGCATAAGGTCCTGAGTTCGATTCCCGGTATAAAAAAAAAATTGGGGGGGCTTGGGATTTAGCTCAGCGGCACAGCACCTGCCTGGCAAGCATAAGGTCGTGAGTTCGATTCCCGGTACCGGAAAAAAACAACAAAAAAAAATATTTTTTTTCTTTTGACAACACACAGCAGCTGAGAACAACCAGGCTCTCGTCTGGGTCTGTGGCCCCGCCCTGCAGGAAGTCGCCTCTGCTCCCCATCGCTTGCCCACCTAGCACTAGGGGAGCCAGGAGGCTGATGCAGCACCAGTTGGGCTGAATCTAGAAACCCAGCTCGCGGCAAGGAGATAGGCAGCGTCCTCATTTGCCAGAGGGAAACGGAGAGGCTAGGAGCAGGAACCCTCCACGGTCCCCCGGCCACCCCCAGCCCTCCGGACCTCACCCTTTGCTCCATGTCGGGCTGGCGTCCGGCTGGGGACAGCGTCCTCCCCAGGGTTAGGAGTCTGGGGGAGGCGGGGCGCAGGAGCGGCCGTCCACTGTCCTGGTTCCTGCGCATGCGCTCCAGCTGCTCCTGGGCGCTCATCCTAGGCCGGGCCGCCGTGGCCTGGGGAGATCAGAAGTCCCGTGAGACCCCGAGAGCAGGGGCGCCTCTTCATCCCCTCACCCTGAACCTCCCTGCCTGCAGTCTGACCCTTCCCAGTGAGTTCAACACAGAGATTCAGTTTTGTTTTTGTCGTTTGTGGTACTGGGGTCTGAACCCAGGGCCCTCCCATTGTGCTACATCCTCAGCCTTTTTTATATTTTGGTGTTTTGGTTTGGTTTGGTTTGGTTTGGTTTTTTTTTCCGGTACCGGGAATCGAACTCACGACCTTGTGCTTGCCAGGCAGGCGCTGTGCCGCTGAGCTTAAATCCCAGCCCCCTTTTTTATATTTTGAAACAGGGTCTGGAGAAATCGCCCAGGCCGGCCTGGAACTTGTGGTCTGCCTGCCTCCTCACCCTGGAGCCTGGGATTGCAGCAGCATGGTGGAGGGCTGCCCTCCGAGGCGCATCACAAGTAGATAAATACGTGCTGACCATGTGAATTGATGAAGCATAACTGAAGTATTCACTAATTCCGGGTGTTATTTGCAAACTTTGGAGCTGCTGGACTTTTTTTGTATGTGTGTGTCTTTTTGAGACAGGATCTTGCTATGCAGTTCAGGCTGGCCTTGAGCTCACTTTGTAGCACAGGCTGGTCTCCAATTTACAGTGATCTTCCTGCCTCAGCCTCCCAAGGGCTGGGATTACAGGTGTGCGCCACCACGCCCAGCTTTGGATTCATTCAGTCGTTTCACTGTTAATAGGATCTTATAGCTGGCCTTGCAGATGTCAGTGGAAACCAAAAGCAGGGTTAAAGCGTGGCATTTCTGCCCACAATTTAGTTTTGCTTCCTTCATTCAAATGTAGGATCGGATCCCTGCTCAGCTCGGGATGTCCCAGGCAGGTTAATCAGTTATAGAGTGTGTGTCTAAAAACTAGAAATGCACGGTTTATTATCCCTATGTTTGCCTGGCCTGTCTCATCCTCCTTCAGGACTGAGGACGTAGCCGGAGAGGTGGCACACTTCTATAACCCTAGCACACGGAGGCTGAGGCAGGCAGATCCAGGGTTCAAGGCTAGTGTGGGCTACACAGTGAGTTCAAGGCTGGCCTGGCGTACACAGCAAGACCCTGTCTCAAAACAAAAAATAAAATAAAATAAAAGCAAAACACAACAAAAGGCTGAAGACACCAAGGGTAACTTTTTTTTTTTTGGAGACAAAAGTCTTTCAATTAGTCCAAACTGGCCTTGAACTCACTATGTAGCTCATGCTGACCTTAGACTCTCACGGATCCTCCTAACCTCAGCCTTCCAAGTGCTGGGATTACAGGCATGTTTCACTACACCTGGCTAACAACATCAGTTCTAAATGGTAATCACTGCTACGAGACCAGTTTTTCAGATGAAAAACTCGAGGTTTAATATGGGCCCAAAGTCATACTGCTTAGAAGTAACAGAGCTAGCCGGGCGTGGTGGCGCACGCCATAGTCCCAGCACTCTGGGAGGCTGAGGCAGGAGGATCACCATGAGTTCGAGGCCAGCCTGGGCTTCATAGTGAGACCCTGTCTCAAACAAACAAACATAGCGGAGATAAAAATGAGTGTCAAGGCTAGGCTCTTACAAAAAGTGTGCTCCCCGGAGGTAGCTTTAGAAAACCTGCTGCTGCCGGCTGTGTCACCAGGGTTGGGGTCCGTGGTGGGCAGATCACAGGACCATGAGACAAGTGGAAGGGCCTAATGGACAGCCTACCTTGGTCCCCAGTGGTGGGGAGGAGGGGCGGCGGCCCTCTGGGCTGGAAGCCCGGGAGACCCTGGGAGACGCCAGGCCTGGAAAGACAGAGGAGACGGTGAAGACAGGAACACAAGACGCACCCACCCACCGGAACACTCACCTGAGCGTGGGCTGCCAAGGTCGCTGTCACCTCCAGGGGGCTGGCCCCAGTCAGCCTCGGGGGACCGAGGGGAGCTGAGTTCCAGGGACTCAGGCAGGCTCTGGAGGGGGTGGGCGAGGGGACCCAGGACGATGGTCACATCATCGTTGTCACTTTTCAGCAACTAAGACAGTGTGAGGAAGAGTATGATTATAAACCTAATCCTGGTTTTATTTATTTTTGTTTTACTTTTTTGTTTGTTTTTGTTTTTGTTTTCCGGTACCGGGAATTGAATTCACGACCTCACGCTTGCCAGGCAGGTGCTGTGCCGCTGAGCTAAATCCCCAGCCCCCTTGTTTTACTTTTTTGAAACAGGGTCTTGCTATGTAGGCCAGGCTGGCCTTGAATTCATGGTGATCCTCCTGCCTCAGCCTCCCAAGTGCTGCAATTACAGTTGTGGGCCATCATACCCGGCCCTGAGTGTGTGTGTATGTGTGTGTGTGTGTGTGTGTTACTATGAATGCCAAGAAAGTCCTCTACTACTAACCCCAACCCCCAGCCCACTACAGCTGCACACCTATAATCCCAGCACTTGGGCAGCTAAGGCAGGAGGATAACTGCAAGTTTGAGGCCCACCTCGGCTACACAAGAAGACCCTGTTTTATTTATTTATTTATTTATTTATTTATTTTTGTCTTTCTGAGACAGGTTCTCGCTATGCAGTTCAGGCTGGCCTTGAGCTCACATTGTAGCCCAGGCTGGCCTCGAACTCTATTCTCCTGCCTCAGCCTCCCAAGTGCTGGGATTACAGGCGTGCATCACCACGTCCGGTGAGACCCTGTTTTAAAAACAATGAAACAAGCTGGACTCGGTGGCTCACGCCTGTAATCCCAGCACTCGGGAGGCTGAGGCAGGAGGATCATTGGGAGTTTGAGGCCAGCTTGGGTTACAAAGTGAACTCAAGGCCAGCCTGAATTGCATAGCGAGACCCTGTCTTAAAAAAAGACAAAAATAATAATAATAATAAAATAAAATAAATAAAAACAATGAAACAATAACAAAAGTTGGCCAGCTGGTCCATGGAGAGGAAAGGGCAGGGGACAGGAAACTGGGCAAGGAGAAAGATGTGAATCTCACCTCCCTCTCAGAGGACTCCTCGCCTGGGAGTGCAGGAGAAGAGGGCTCAGGCTCAGTGTGGGGGCGTGGCTTCTGGGGGCCCCCCAGCCCTGCCAGCGTGTCCTCCACCATCCACAACTGCTGCTGAGCCGCCGCCCTGTCCTGGGGAGGGAAAGGGCTCTGTTACAGAAGGTGCGAAGTGTGAGGAGGGTTCCAGCTCTTCCACCCCAGCAAGCGCCTGAACTGGGGCACTGTTTATGGAAGTGAGATTTTTTTTTCCCCATATGGGACCAAGGGCAGGGTGGAGACTGTCTTTGTCCTCCTTCTTGTACCCAAGGGACTGACTGTAAATATCTAGGAGTCGGTTTCTGAGCCCTGAGTTTCTGGCCCTGCTGCCCGCCTCTCTAAGCCCTGGCCACAAGACATTTGCTGTCTTAACCATAGTGTTTGCACCTGAGCCAACATCCAGGTGTGTTGGTCCTCAGCAGGGTGTCTGGGTGATTCCTGGCCGTCTACACTTGCAGCGACAATTCAGGGTCCCTGAAAACCCTTCCAGATCTGTACCAGGACTGCAAGTCCCCGTCTGGAAAACCAGCCTGCGCAGTGCCAGAGCTTCCCCTGGGCGTCTTTCCTACTGAGGAACACGTAAGTCTCCATCTCTAGATTTTCATGTCTGCTGATGATGTTTTCTGGAGTTCAGAATAGATGTCTTGCATATCTTTCACTGGATTTATTCTTAGGTATTTGACTTTTTTGTTGTTATTACAAACTCTTTGTCCTTGTTTTGTTGTCAGAGTGGTAGGGATTGAACCTAGGGCCTTGCACATGCTAGGCAAACAGTCTACCACTAAGCCACATCCCCTGCCCTTTTTCTTTTTTTCTTTCTTTTTTTGTGTTTTGGAGACAGGATCTCACTCTGCAGTTCAGGCTGGCCTTGAGCTCACTTTGTAGCCCAGGCTGGTCTCGAACTTGCAACGATCCTCCTGCCTCAGCCTCCTGAGTGCTGGGATTACAGGCGTGTGTCACCACGCCTGGCTCTTCTTTTTTTCTTTTTTTTTTCCCCCAGTCATTTTTGTTTTTATTTTTATTTCTGAGACATGGTCTCATAAGTGGCCCGGGCTGCCCTCCACCTTGCAGTCTTCCTGCCTCAGCCTCCTGAGTTGCGAGACCTTGTCTCCAAAAGACAAAAAAAAAAAAAAAAATTAACAGCAACAGGCAGGAAGCAGGTTGCCAGACAAGAACTTGGGTAGGGCTTCCCCACAGGAAGAGATGTTTAGAACAGAGGGCAGAGCAGCCTCTTAACTACAATAAAGAGTTCAGAATAAAGGACTGAGGGGCGGGATTGGGTCGAGTGGGAGGGGCTTGAGCTCTGTGGGAGGGGCTTGGGCTCTGTGGGAGGGGCTTGGGCTCTGTGGGAGGGGCTTCCTGCCCAGCAGGTCCCCTCCCCCAGGCTGAGGTTGGGCGTGGGCCCAGGGAAAGGAGGATGTACCTGGGGGGACCCGAGGTGCAGCAGGTACTCCAGGGTCTCTCGTAAGGTGCCCAGCTCCTGCTCCAGGCCTCTGTATGTGTCCCAAACCTGCTCTCGCTCCTCGGGTCGCAGAAAGGAGGAAACAAGTTAGCACCCGCCCTCCAGATCTGTGCCCATCTTCTTCCAGCCTAGGGGTGGAGGGGAGGCGTGGGCCCAAAGCTGTGCTGGGACTAGGGGAACTCCAGAGCCCATGGGAAACCTGCGTTCCATGGAGCCGCTACTGTAGACAAGTAAGAGCGTCCAGAGCCCCTGAGCTGCTAACGTGCATCTTTAGAGCGTCTGGACTGCAGTGTGATGAATGCATGGCAAAGTCAAGGCCACAGTGCCTTATAGCTCGGCATCATAAGGATAAAGGCGGTTAGCTGGACATAGTAGCGCACACCTGTCATCCCAGCACTCGGGAGGCTGAGGCAGGAGGATCACTTCAAGTTGAAGACAACCTGGGCTACATAGTTCAAGGCCAGCCTGAACTGCCTAGTATAGTGAGACTATCTCAAAAAGAAAAAAAAAAAAAAAAAAGAAAGAGGGAAAATGGCCAGGATAGTAACAGCTAGCAGGTGGACAACATGTGCCCAGCACTACCTCTCAGTGAATTCTTCCTTCTTTCTTTCTTCTTTTTTTTTTTTTTTTTTTTTTTTTTTTTTTGAGAAAGGGTCTTAAGGGCTGGGGATATAGCTCAGTGGCACAGCGCCTGCCTGGCACACGTAAGGTTGTGAGTTCGATTCCCAGTACAAAACAAAACAAGGAAGGGCCTTGCTATGTAGCCCAGGCTGGCCTCGAACTCTCACCAATCCTGCCTCAGCCTCCCAAGTCCTGGGGTTACAAGTGTGTACCACCACATCCTGCTCTTGGAAACTCCTGTGAGGTGGGTACTGATGTTGCCAACAGTTTACAAATATTTAACTGAGCGTGGTGGCGCACACTTGTAATCTCAGCCCTCAGGAGGCTGAGGCAGAAGGATCATTGTGAGTTCGAGACCAGCCTGAACTGCAGAGTGAGACCCTGTCTCAAAAAGACAAAAAAGGAAAAAAAAAAAAAAAAAGACAAAAAAGAGGTTGGGGATTTAGCTCAGCAGCACAGCGCCTGCCTGGCAAGCGAAAGGTCATGAGTTTGATTCCCGGTACCGGAGAAAAACCAAAAAAAGAAAAAAAAAAAAAGTTAAACAGTAATTCACATAGGTTAGAAACAGTCTCTATTATTTACGGGTAATATTTTTTTTTGCAGGTGATTATTAGGAGAGCAAATAACAAAGAAAAATAATAATTATTAGAGCTACCATGTAAATATTTGTCCCGCCCAGTGGGTGAGGCCATCAAGGATCACCAGGTCCCAGCCCATCCAGTTCCAGGAAGCCTGACAACATCCACACCGCACCCGAGGCGCGTGGCCCTGCTATCTCTGCCCCAGACTCCTCCAGTTTCCTCGCATCGAGGGTTGGGTTTAAAGTTTTTAAATATTGGTTTTGTTTTGCTTTTTTTTTTTTTTTTTTTTTTTTTTTTTGAGACAGGGTCTCGCTATGCAGTTCAGGTTGGCCTTGAGCTCACTTTGTAGCCCAGGCTGGTCTCGAACTCACACTGATCCACCTGCCTCAGCCTTCTGAGTGCTGGGATTACAAGCATATGGCACCACGCCTGGCTTGTTTTGCTTTTGAGACAGGGTTTCACCATGTAGTCCAGGCTGGCCTGGCACTCCCAGTAATAGTCCTGCCTCAGCCTCCTGAGTGCTGGGATTACAGGGATGCACCACCATGCCTGGCAGGTTTTGCTTTTCTTTTTCTTTTTCTTTTTCTGTACTTAGGTTCTTCGCACTGAGCTCCAGCACCAACTATTTATTATTTACTTATTTGAGACAGACACGGTCTCCCTAAATCTCTAAATTGCCCAGGTTAGGCTTAAATTTGCAATCCTCATGACTCAGCCTCCCAGAATCCTGGGGTTGTGAGCACATGCCACCACACCCAGCTTAAATGACTTTTTTTTTTTTTTTTTTTTTTTTGTTTTTCTCTGGTACCGGGAACCGAACTCACGACCTTGCACTTGCCAGGCAGGCGCTTTTGCCGCTGAGCTAAATCCCCAGCCCCCTTAAATGACTTTATTAAGATCATCCAGCTACTATAGGGGGGAGCTCACACAAACCCAGGGAGCCCAAATCAGAGTCATCTGCTGATGTAAGGCCCTGCTCCAGTCACACACTCACACACACACACCCTGGGAGGCTGAGGCTGGAAGATCCCAAACCCAAGCCCAGCCTCGGCAATTTAGTCACTTAGCTCTCTGTCTCTCTCTCTCTGTCTCTTCCTGTCTCACTCTCTGTGTCTGTCTGTCTGTCTGTCTGTCTCTCTCTCTCTCTCTCTCTCTGTACTGGGAATGGAGCCCAGGGCCTCATATACGTTAAGCAAGTGCTCTGCGGGTGAGCTACACACCCGACCCTGACACCTGTGTCTCAGAATTTAAAAAAAAATTTTTTTTGTCTTTTTGAGACAGAGTCTCACTATGCAGTTTCAGGATGGCCTAGAGCTCACTTTGTAGCTCAGGCTGGTCTCGAACTCCCAGCGATCCTCCTGCCTCAGCCTCCTGAGTGCTGGGATTACAGGTGTGCGCTGCCATACCTGGCAGAATGAAAAATTTTAAAAGGCTGTGGATATAGGTCAGTGCAAAGGCCTGGGTTTGATCACTAGTACTGCAAAAAAGACTAAAAAAAACGACAAAAGAAACCACCCTCGGACTGCTCTTGCTGGCTATTCTCCTGGTGACCAAAGTGACTGTGTAGCTGAGGGGATGGTTTTCTTCAGAACCCCGTGCTGTGACCCGCAGGGTCGCCTTCCCAGGGCCCCACAGTCTGGCCCTTGCGGCTGCTCACCTGAGTTAGGTGACACAGGGAGGCCCGCACACTGACCAGGCGGTCCTGCAGGAGGCGCTGGCGACCCCAGGCCCTGCCGGGAGCCGCAGCCTCCCTGGTGGCTTGGCCGAGCTGCTGCCGGGTCAGCTCCAAGGCGGCCTCCAGCTGCTCCTGCAAGAGAGGGGAGGAGCCAGGCGTAGTGGTGCATGTAGTAATCCCAGCACTGGGGAGGCTGAGGCAGGAGGATCGTTGGGAGTTCCAGGCCAGCCTGGGCTACAAAGTGAGTTCAAGGCCAGCTTGAACTGCATAGAGACCCTGTCTCAAAAAAAGGCGGGAGCAGGGGAGCGTTGGGGATTTAGCTCAGTGGCACAGCGCCTGCCTGGCAAGCACGAGGAAGTGAGTTCGATTCCCAGTACGGGGGGGGGGGGGGAGAAGAAGAGAGGGCAGGAGATCAGACTTCTGAAGCCACTCCCAGCTCAGGAGAGCAGAGGTATCCTGTCCTTGACCTCTCTGACAGCATCGGGGGCCCAGCACCTTCTCCTCCTGCTTCTGGTCGATGTCCTCCTGCAGCCGCCTCAGGAGCCGGTCCTGCCCGCACAGCTTGGTCAGCAGGCTCTGCAGAAAGGAGAAGAGAGGCCTTCAGGAACCCCATCTGGATCTTCCCCACCCCATTCCCCCAGCTCTGGGACCCCGGGAGGGGCTGCCCCTGGGAACTCACATCTGTCTCCAAGCTTTGAGGGAAGGTTGAGTCCAGGGGTGGACCCGGCTAGAAGGGAAAAATCAAGGATCAGAGGGGACAGGCAGGTCCTTAATGAAACTTGGTGCCCAAAACACTGACTGTGTTTCACTGGGCCTGCAGATGTGTGATGGACAGTGAATTCTGGGTAACAGCTTGGCATCTCTGCTTTCTTTCATTTTCTCTCTCTCTTTTTTTTTTTTTTTTTTTTGTCTTTTTGAGACAGGGTCTCGCTATGCAGTTCAGGCTGGCCTTGAGCTCACTTTGTAGCCCAGGCTGGCCTCAAACTCGCAACGATCCTCCTGCCTCAGCCTCCCAAGCACTGGGATTACAGGCCTATGCCACTATGCCTGGCTTCTGCTTTCATACTGTATCTGTCTCCTTTGGGTACCATAAACTTTCAGCTCTGCACGTAGGCAAGATCAGAGTAACTGAGAAGCCTGGTGTCTTAGTGTGTACTTGTAATCCCAGCACTTGGGAGGCTGAGGCAGGAGGGTCACTGTGAGTTCAAAGCCAGCCTGGGCTACACAGTGAGACCCTGTCTCAAAAAAAGTCCATAGTGAATATTATAATTAATGGATAGACTTTGTTTATTTAGTTGTTTATTCATTTATTTATTTATTTATTTATTTATTTTTTGTCTTTTTGAGACAGGGTCTTGCTATGCAGCTCAGGCTGGCTTTGAGCTTACTTTGTAGTCCAGGTTGGCCTCAAACTCATAGCAATCCTCCTGCCTCAGCCTCCCGAATGCTTGGATTACAGGTGTGTGCCACCAAGACTGGCCTTTTTTGTGTGTGAGATAGGGACTTGCTATATAGTCCAGGCTGGCCTCCAAGTTGCAGTGATCTTCCAGCCTCAACTTCTGAGTGCTGGGATACAGACATGCACCTGGCAGGACTTGCTTTCTGAGGACAGGAGCCATCCTCCTATCCCACCCTTATCACAAGAAGCTCCTGAAGGGCACAGAAGTGGCCTTTTTGCTAGGAAAGACCCCACTCTTGCAATCTGAAAATGTTTCTGCTTCCTTCTGTGTTAATTTGTGGGGGTTTTTGTTTGTTTGTTTGTTTTTTGTGTTTTTGAGACAGGGTTTCACTATGCAGTTCAAGCAGGCCTTGAAATCACAGTGATCCTCCTGCCTCAGCCTCCCAAGTGCTGGGATGACAGACGTGTGCCACCACACCCAGCAAAACAAGCCAATATTATTTGGCATAATAGCAAACTTCCCTTTTTCTCTCTCTCTCTCTCTCTCTTTTTTTTTTTTTTTGGTACCGGGAATCAAACCCAGGACCTTGTGCTTGCCAGGCAGGTGCTGTGCTGCTGAGCTACATCCCTGGCCAATTCCCTCTCTTTAATCCTTACACAAAACAGATAACCTGACAAACTACTTAGGAGGCAAGGTAGGAGGATGACAGTTTCCAGCCCAGCCTGGGAAATGTAGTTACTTATGGAGAACCCTGTCTTCAAATTTAACAAATTAGCTAGCATGATGGTACACACTTGCAAATCCCAGCACTTTGGGAGGCTGAGACAGGAGGATCACTAGTTTCAGCCCAGCCTGGGTAATTTAGTGACTTAATGAGAACTTATCTCAAAAAAAATTTTTTTTTGTCTTTCTGAGACAGGGTCTTGCTGCTATGCAGTTCAGACTGGCCTTGAGCTCACTTTCTAGCCCAGGCTGGTCTCAGACTCTCAACGATCCTCCTGCCTCAGCCTCCCAGGTGCTGGAATTACAGGCATGCGCCACTACACCCAGCAACAGAGCATATTTCTTTTCCTACTTTTAACAAAAAAAAAAATTTTAAGACAGGGTCTCACTATGTAGTTCTGACCAGTCTTGAACTCACTATATAGCCCAGGCTGGCCTCAAACTTGAGGTAATCCTCCTGCCTCTGCCTCCCAAGTGCTGGGGTTACAGGCGTATACCACCGCTCCTGGCTTCCTACTTTTAATAAATGTAAAATCTCACTACCTTTTGCACTTGTTTTGTCCAAATTCTTTGTTCATGACAAAGAACCTAGAAACAGTCTCTAGAAGGTACCCCCAGAACCCCAGATCCAGTGACACAGATAAACACAAAGGACGACGGTCACTTGATCATGGAGGCAGGGACAGCACGGTGCAGCCGCAGAACAGCCGGGTTTTACCAACACCCGAGTCTAGGAGAGGGGTTCCAGCAAATCCTCTCCCAGAACCTCGGAGAGAACATTGCCCTTGGACACGCTGCCGCCTCAACTTCAGACCTCTACTGCCAGGGGGCGGCAAAACCACTGCAGTTGTAAACCGTCCAGTTTGCGGTGCTTTGAGCAGCCACAGGAAACAAACACAACCACCTACTCAAGGACCACAGAATACCTAGTCTGAAGCTCCTAGGCCAGGACAAAGAAAGCAAGGGAGGAGCAGCAAAGAAAGCAAGGGAGGAGACTCCTTGATTCTGGGTGCCGCAGGATACCTACCAATAAAACCATGGAGGCCCGGGTCCCGGGGCGTCTTGGGGGGAGCTGGAGATAAGTGGAGGAACCAGAGGGGGCCTGGGAGGAATAAGGATTAGAGATGTTTAGAAATTGGCTCATCCGAAGTATCAGCTGTCACAGTCGGTGTGTTTAGCACAGAAAAGCCTAAAAGACTGAGCTTCAGAACTCAGCTCCCCAAGTTTTTTTGTTTTGTCTTGTTGTTTTTGGTCTTTTTAATTTTTTTCTTTTTCTTTTTTTTTTTTTCTTCCAGACAGGGTCTTTCTATGCAGTTCAGGCTGGCCTTGAGCTCACTTTGTAGCCCACTGGTCTGGAACTCGTAACAATCCTCCTGCCTCCGCCTCTCAAGTGCTGGAATTACAGGCATGTGCCACCACGCCCGGCCCCACTTTCCTTAACTACCCTCTGAATACGTTAATAATGGCCTAGCTTTGCAAGCTGATGAGAGTTAGCGATGGATATTCTGCACTATAAATGCATAATGCTCTGGCAAAATAGCATGATAATCTGGGGACCTAAGGCAGAAGAAACCACATCACCTGTCGCGGAACTATTTGGGCAGAGATTATCCTGCACTACAAAACCCATGATGCTTATGGAGCAAAAGCCAGGACCAGCCCAAAGACAATTCCCTCCTCTCTGCCGGCTGAGCCTGGTTGATTATTAGGGACTACAATCCCCATGAGGCTCAGGAAACTGGCCTGGAGACCATCCATCCTGGAAACAGTCCCGATGGCTCATGGGAAATGTAGTCCTCCGTTCCCCGCTGCTCACCTGTACTCTGGGTTCCTGACTCCAGTTTGGGGGGCTCCTAGGACGCCGTCCTCCGCCAGCTTCAGAAGACGGTGCTCTGCGGGGTGTGGGGGGCCGGGAAAAGGTCTGTCGCTGGGGGCCCCAATCAAGAGGAGGCCGGACATCGATGCGACTCAAGGGGGTGTGAGGTCGGGCAGGGAGCGCGGCGTCTCCTGAGGAAGGCGGGGGTCGCCGCGCAGGAGCAGACCGGGGACGGGGAAGGCTCAGCGGGGAAGGCGGGCGAGAGAGGGGTGCGAACAGGCTATGGGAAGGAGAGAATCGAGGAGATGAGTCAACGAGAGCCGCCCCAATGCACCTCGCTGCCTTTCAAGTCAGCCCAGAAGGACATCTCGCTTCAGTGTTCTCACTGTTGCTTTGCGGTGACTCCTGCCTGCTGGGCAGGCCCTGACTAACGTCTCCTTCGTGGCATGTCCTTAGAACTTCTCCCCGACAGGCTGTGACCCCACAGAACCCCAGCAACTCAAGCAGTGAAGCAGAAACCGCCAAGCCACGCCCCAAGCACTCCCCGGCCACGCCCTCCTCCCAGGCCACGCCCCAACGCGCTTTGCCCACTCTCCCCTCGCCCCACTCACTCCGGGCTCCTGGTCCTGCGGCCCCTGGGTCCAGAGAGGAGGTCTGCGGTGGGGCTGGGAGCCAGTAGCCCGGGTCGTCCACGACCTCTGGAGAACCGAGCCACCTCCGGTGATTCTGAGATGCGCCCCTCTGCCCCTTTGCTCACCTCCGGGGGACCCCCAGGGCCACCAGGGCCCTCCCCAGGCTGGGGACGAGGGGGTGACCTAGGCGGCCCACTAACAAGTGAGCACAGAAAGACACATCACTCTCTGACCCTCATAGCAGCCCTAGTCTCTTCAGAGATACAGACACCACAACCTATCAAAAAAGGGGAAATTGTACACTATACACCGTTGCACCCATCTTGCAGATTCAGAAACTGAGGCCTTGGATATGGAAGTGAATTGTGCAGGACCATGGGGTCCACCCAGATCACAAGACCCAATCTCCGGTACTGTGAGAAAGATTGAACCAGGGAGTGGAGTTTACAGACTGAAAATTGGAGGAGGCAAGGACAAAGCCTGAAAGACTGATATATATTTTTTTAATCTGATTTTTTTTTTTGTGGGGTGGGTCTTTTTGAGACAGGGTCTCGCTATGCAGTTCAGGCTGGCCTTTTTGCTCACTTTGTAGCACAGGCTGGCCTCAAACTTGCAATGATCCTCCTGCCTCAGCCTCATGAGTGCCTGCCCCTGGTTGATTTCAATCTGATATTTTAGCTGCTCTTGGTTAGGGATGAATCTCAAGGAATGGAGATTTCTGAAGCAGGCAATCAGAGAGTGTGATATGATTTTTAGCTCCGAATGTGGATCAGATTGAGGCTTTGGAGACTGGAAGATTTGCAGTTCCCTGAGGTGGGCCCTGAAAGGCGGAAGCCCCATGGCTGCAGGGAGAAGTTTGGGCGATTCCAAAAGAAATCAGGGGCTTGGCCTGGACCTCTGCTCACCAATCGTCGCCCTCAGCGCGGGAGGCCCGGCCCAAAGCGCGCAGCCAGCCGCGCAGGTCCTCCACCGTGTCCGCCGCCAGGACGTAGGTCCTCATGCCCGGATGCTCCGCCTGCGGGAGGAGAGGGCGCTCTCAACACCAGGCCGAGGTGGGCCCGGGTCAAGACCTTTCAGGCCCAATGATGGGGTCTCCAGTGCACGTTCACCTCCCCCTCCAGGGCCTCTCCCGGAGCTGGCACCACCGAGGACGGAGGGACTCACGGTGAAGGTGAAGCGCCGCCCCCGGGGGGCTCCGGGCCCATCTGGCCGGACACTGTAGCTGGGGAGCAGGACGCTGCCCAGCACGCTCTCCTCGCGGCTGTCTGCAAAGGGGGCTGGCGTCAGGGGTCACAAAGGTATCAGGAGGCCAGCAGGCAGAGGGAGGCGTGGCTGGGGACCGCGCCTTCCCACCCCATCCAGCGGGGACACTGACCCTTGTAATAGAAGAGGCAGTGGCCGGAGAGGACGAACCAGCGGCGCTTCCAGAGCCGGAGCCCAGAGCTGTCCTGGGGAGAGAGGTGGGAGGGAGGCCTGAGCAGGAAGGGGAGGGGAAGGTGGGCGCAGACGGTGAGGGAGGAGAGAGACACAGACACAGAGGGGACAGAGACCTCTGGAAACAGAGTCTGGGGCTGATGGAGACCCAGGGAGAGGGGAGGGGAAGAGCGTTTGATGGTCAGTGTATTGTGAGTCAGTGACACGGATTCTACAGAGTGAGCTCGAAGCCACCCTAAACTGCACAGTGAGACCCTACCTCAAAAAACAAACAAACTTACAAACTACCGGCCCTGGGCTCCTCCCCAGGGCTTTCAATTCAGTGGAGCTGGGCTGGGGCCGCATCATTTGCATGTCTACTGAGTTTCCAAGGGATGCTGATGCTGCTGGTCTAGACTTGAGAGCTACTGCCTTGCCAGTCCTCCGATTTCTCTCTCCTTGGCTTGCTCTAGATACAAGGATTTTGGCTCCTGCTCCTGCAGGGCCTTTGGGCTTCCATGTCTTGCTGTGGAGTTCCGGCTGGCACTGAACTCACTATGTAGCCCAGGCTGGCCTCCAACTCTCAGCAATCCTCCTGCCCCAGCCTCCTGAATCCTGGGATTTTAGGTATGGCCCACCACACCCAGTAATACTTAGTAATTTATGATGCATCCCTGCCCCCCTGTGATAACCTTGAATATCAGGTTTACTGCTTGATTAGTACTCAAGAAATAGTACTGACAGCCAGGCGTGGAGGCACACACCCGTAATCCCAGCACTCAGGAGGCTGAGGCAGGAGGATTGTTGCGAGTTCAAGACCATCCTGGTTACAAAGTGAGCTCAAGGCCGGCCTGAACTGCATAGGGAGACCCTGTCTCAAAAAAAAAAAGAAAGAAAGAAATAGTACTGACTGGGTGAAGGCATGTAACAATGATAGAAGAAAGGGAGATACAGGGATAGCGAAAAGAAACATACATGCGACCCTGGAAAGAGAGAAAGTGTACAGCTGGGGGCACAGCCTCCAGCGTCCTTCCAGTTCCGGCTCACCCCACCTGCTTGTGAAGCCAGCCTCGGATGTGCACAGGCAGGTTGGGGTCCCTTCTGAGCGCATGGCTCCTCTTCCCAAAGGCGTGGACCTTGTTTACTGCCCGGGTGGGCTTCTGCGGAGAGAAGGGACAGAAGTGAATGGGGTTCTCTCAGGGTGCGCCTGCAAGAGGTGCCGGGGAGAGCCGGTCAAGGGGGGCTGAGTCCCACCGGGCTCTGGGGGCTGTTCACATGCAGAGGACAGCGACTGCTTGACGGGTGGAGGCACACAGGAATCACACGTTCACTGCCACAGAGGGGGCCCCCTTGGCCACAAGAGCCAGAGATGTGGCCGAGCCTGAGGCAGCTGAACTGGGAATATCGGCCGGGAGGTCCCACCAGCAGGACGACTTCCACGCTGAGTTCCCAGTGAGCAGAAGGACAGAAGGATGGCTCAGCACTGGCCTGTGACACCCCCAGCAACCCCGTCCAAAGTCGGGGTTCAGATCCCTCCGGCCAACTCAGATGGGGCCGCCGCTCCTGGAAAAAGGTTGCCCCAGGATGTCCCTCCTCAGAGGCGCTGCTGGCCCAGGCTGGGATGGAACACCCAGGTTTGTAACCGGGAAACTGGAAGCAGCCAGAGGCGGTGAAAATGGGTGTCCTTGTTGAAAGTGGGGCCAGGGTGACATGGAGATGGAAGTGCCTTGAGGATCCCGAAGGCCCTTACTGTCAAGAGGAATCTTCCCTAACTGGCTTTCAAGGGCGGATAGAGGAAATGGATGGAGGCAGGACAGGGTTTCCCTGTCTGCACCAAGGTAGCCAGGCATCTCAGTACCAAGGGGGCTGCGGCTGGGAGTGGCCGCTTGGTCAGCAACCAAGGTCAAGGGAGGGTGTTACTCTGGCTGAGAATTAGGAAAATGGGAGGGGTGGGGACGGGGCTGGGAGTGGCTGAAGATTCCCAGCTGCAGCTGCCGAGCCCATTCTAAGGATTCTTATCCTTAACAGCCAGAGGCCCTCGGGTGGCACAAGGCAGGCGGCCGCAGCGGCCCAGGGCGGGGCGACCTCCCCACGGCCGCCGGGAAGCGCGCACCTTGGCAGTCAGGGTGCTGAGCGAGGAGACGGTGGAGGCGCTGCTGGCCAGGCTGAGGCTGCTCCGCGGCCGGCCCTCCTCCATCCAGCGCTGGGGACACAGAGAGGAGCCCAGTAGCTGCAGCCAGCCCGGCTGGGGACGGAGCCCGGGTCAGGGGCTCAGAGGTCGGAGGAGGCTGAGGAGAAAGAGCCCGTTGTCTGGGGCTGGGGGCTGGGGGAGCCGCGGCCCGGGCCGCATACCGAGGGCCAGAGCGGTGCCAAGAGAGGTGGGCGGCACGGGCAGCTGCGGGGAGGGGGCAGCTGTCTGCAGTCCGGCCGAGAATAGGGGCTCCTTTCTTCCCGCCCACTGGGCTCCGGCCAGGAATGTGACCCTCTCTGTGCTCGGGGACCCCTCTCCCCCACCCCCCGGCGCGTTCCCGCTGCCCCGGGCTACCTGTGTCCCGCCCGCCCACGCGCACCCCAAACACCCCTGCCAACTCCATAAGCCAAGCCCCAGGGCTCCAGGCATGTGCGCCCCGGTCCCCTCCAGGCCCAGGCAGGCAACTTACCCCACCCTGGGCTCCCAGCGACAGGGAGAGGGCGGCGCGGGCGAGGGGCGCCGCTGGCAGCCTCCCCCCGGGTCTCCCGGGCGCTGGGCCTCGGTCCCGGGTCTCTCCTCACCTGATCGCCCTCGCCCTCTCCCCTCTTGTCTCCAGCGCTGTGCGCGCGCTCTCTCCTCTCTCCTGTTCCTTCCCACACTCAACTTTTCTGCTAGGGCACCTCTGCCCAGCCTCACCTTCTGCTTCTCTCTCCCATCTGTCTCTTCTTCTATTTTTCCTTCAGCCTAAACCTCTCCTCTCAGATTCAGAGTCCGCCTGAGCGTCTCTCTCCTTCCTGCCCTCCTTCCCTCCCTTCCCCGGCTCCGTCTCCCTCTCCCCCAGTCTCTCTCCCCGTGTCCCTCCCCGCCTGTTAGTTCCTCCCGGTCTCTTTCGCTTCTCCTCACTTTCTCTTCCTCCAGTTCCGTTTCTCTTTCCTCTCTGCTGGTCTTTCCCTTCCTCTGCCACCCTCCCACGCTGTCTCCCCTCCCAATCCTGGCTGTCCCCGCCCCTGCTGGCTTCTCCACCGCAGCCTGACCCCTGGCTCCACTGCCCCACGGCTCAGGGGAGGGGCTGGGGCCCAGCCCCCTCGGGGCTGTCCGAGGCCGGGACCCCTTGGGGTTTGCAGGACCAGTACCCCTAGTGATCCACTAGCAAAATTTTTGCTTCCCGTCCCCACGACCTTATGTTCTGCTGGCTTAGAAGTCGTAGTTCCAGAAGAGGGAAGGCTTACACCAGGAAGCACAACAATGGTACCACTGAACTGGAAGCTAAGATTTCCCCCTGGTCACTTTGGTCTCCTCATGCCTGTGAGGAAACAAGTTAAAAAGGAAATCACAGTGTTGTCAGGAGTGATTGACCCAGACTATCAGGGGGAAATTAGACTACTCCTCCACAATGGAGGAACAGAAGAATACACGTGGAATGCAGGAGATCCCTTAGGGCGCCTCTTAATATTACCTTGCCCTATTATTAAAGTCAATGGAAAACTACAACAACCTAATACAGGCCCAATGACAAGTGGTCCAGAGCCTTCAGGAATGAAGGTATGGGTCCCCCCACCAGGAAAAGAACCAAGACCTGCTGAGGTGCTTGCTGAAGGTCACGGGAATACAGAATGATAGTGGAAGAAGGTAGTTCTAAATACCAGCTAAGGCCCGGTGACCAGCTACAGAAAAGAGGATTATAATGGTACTATTTCTCCCCTATATTGTATTAATGTAATATAACGTTGATAAACTTAATTCTGGTTCTTTGGGATTGTTAAACCTGTATTATAATGTTCAACTATGAAATTATAAGTGTAAACATCAACCAAAGAAAATTTACATTCTATTTGGGTAAGGGGATTATTGCGTTTCCGTTTGTACGATGGACACATATAACATGTAAGGCGCAATTATATACATGTCTTGTATCTGGGGATTGGTTTAAAGAAATGTGTCTGGCTGCCAAGTTTACAAGGGGTGGATTGTAGTGGTTGATTGATTATGTCAACTTAAGAAGTTTAGAAGCATAACTAAACTTGTTGGCTCAGCAATTCTACTCCCTAGGGTATAGAGGAGCCACCCTAGGGTAGATCATCACCTAGATAATATAAAAGGGAAATGAAGAAGGACAGAGGAACTTCCATTCCTTTTGGAGGAGCTCCAGTCTTCACCTTCAGCTTGGACTTCGTCTCCTGGCTTCTAGTGCAGACTCTTCGGCTTCTGCCTTGGATCCTTCAGCCTTCCGTCGCAGACTCATCGGCCTCCTGGTATGGATTTGCACGGAACTCTGCAGTGAACTCCAGACCCTGGACTGCTTCCTTCGGTCTTCAGCATGCAGACACCCTCTGCACACTTCCCCATACCACTCTCTGGCTGACCGTCGTAAGCCAATCTTATAATTTCTTATAATTTGTACATCTTGAGTTATATCTGTTTCTCCAGTAAAATCCTGACTGATACAGCAGAAGCCCAATCTCAGAGCTCCCCATGGAGCTACTGAGGTTGGGGCCTGGGCCACTGTCCCACAATAAAGGAGACTTGGCCTGGCCAGGCCAAGGACCAGTGCTCAGACACCAGGGGGCCTAGAAAAATTGCGGTTAGGATTCCAGACTTGTGGGTGCCCAAGAAGGTGGGAGCTAGGAGTCAGGACTCTGGGCTGCGATGAGCCAGGTGTGGAAGCATAGCTTTGGATGAGGCTGGGGATCAGAGGTCAGTCCAAGTCCCCAGGGAGGAAGGGGTGCTCCCAGATCCTTGTTCCCATTAACAATGAATCTGGCCCAGCGTGGGGGCGCACACCTGTAATCCCAGCACTTGAGAGGCTGAGGTAGGAGAATCACTGCATGTGCAAGGCTGGCCTGGGCCACATAGTGACTTCAAGATCAGCCAGAACTACATAGAGAGACCCTGTTCTCAAAACAAACAAAGCAGGGGCTGGGGATTTAGCTCAGCGGCACAGAGCCTGCCTGGCAAGCGCAAGGTCGTGAGTTCGATTCCAGGTACCGGAAAAAAACCCAAAGCAAAAAGAACCCTAACCCTGACGCTCCGAAAGCCCCGCCCTCGTGACGTCAGCGCGTCCGCTGAGTGGGACTATAAAAGCCTGGCGGCAGCGGCGATACTAAGCTGATTCGGTCCGGCTTTCTGAATAGTTACCTGCGAGACCCGAGTACGAAGAGCACCGAGCAGTTCTACATCACGACTGCGGCAGACTCCGGACTCTTCAGTACTCCCTGGAACAAATACCTTCATTCTTAACACTCAGTTTCCTCATCTGCGAATGGGAGAATGTAGGCTAGGGTCCGCTGTTTAAACTGGGGTGGAGTGGGTCAGGGATATAGCTCAGCGGCGCAGGGCCTGCCTGGAAAGCATGAGGTTGGGAGTTCGATTCCCAGTAGCAAAAAATAAATTAAAAAAAATAATAAAAATAAATTGGGGTGGGATGGCTGGGGATATAGCTCAGCGGCATAAGCGCCTCCCTGGCAAGTGCAAGGTCCTGAGTTCAATTCCCAATACCAAAAAAAAAAAAAAAAAAAAAAATTAAATTGGGGTGGGATAGCTTGGGACCAGAATAAAGTGGGTTTTTTGTTTTGTTTTTAATCTTTTTGAGACAGGGTCTCGCTATGCAGTTCAGGCTGGCCATGAGCTCACTTTGTAGCCCAGGCTGGCCTCGAACTCACAGCGTTCATCCTGCTTCAGCCTCCCGAGTGCTGGGATTACAGGCGTGTGCTACCACGCCTGAACCCCGCCCCCCCCCCCGAATAAACAGCCCACTAGCCATCCCCACAGGGTAAAAGCTTGGGGCCTTGGGCAGTGGTCATGCTCCAAGCGGCACCATGACATCCCGAAGCCGGGAAAGTCCACGGGAAGTCTGGGTATTTTCTCATCCCCACCCACAGGCGCCCTGACGTTCCGAAAGCCCCGCCCTCGTGACGTCAGCGCGTCCGCTGAGCGGGACTATAAAAGCCGGGCGGCAGCGGCACTGCTAATCTGATTCGGTCCGGCTTTCTGAATAGTTACCTGAGAGACGCCGAGTACCAAGAGCACCGAGCGGTTCTACGTCACGACTGCGGCAGCCGGGATCCCCGAAACTCTCCAGGGCGACCTGTGAGGCGAGATGAGCGCGCCGGCCTCCCGAGCCCTCCGGACCTGCGATCGCTTCTGGCAACCCGAGCCGGCGCTCCTGCCCCCGGGCTGACGCGCAGCCCCGCCGGTGAGTGACCGGGTCGGCACCCAGAGGGGACGGGCTGGGGCTGGAGGCCAGACTCCCGACTCCCGGTCCGCAAAGAGGAGGAGACTTGTGGTTCCGAGTCCGGAGGGTTCAGGGCCAGGTCTGGAGGTGGGGCAGGAGCGTCTGGGAGCCTGGACTCCAGGGTCTGCAGAGGGGTGAGAAGGGCGTGGGGACCCGGACTCAGGCAGGGCAGGAGTGGGGGAGCCCTGACTCTTGGGTCCCTAGAGAAGGAATCCTCAAAATGTTTTCCTTGATCAGGGGAGGAAGGCCTTGGAAACCTGTTCTGTTCTCACAGATGAGAGAACTTGGTCCCCAAGGAAAACAAGTAAAAAAGGCCTTTGTTCTTAGGGCTAGAACTAGGGTTTGAGGAAGAAGGGCCAGGGGCGTGGACTTTTGGTTTTGGTTTGTTTGTTTGTTTTGTTTTGAGACAGGGTTTCACTATGCAATTCAGGCTGGCCTTGAACTCACTTTGTACCCACAGTGCAGTGATCCTCCTGCCTCAGCCTCCCCAGTGCTGGGATTACAGGCTTGCTCCACCAGGGCATAGGCTTTTTGGATCAAAGGAGGAGAGACCTGGGGGGCTCCCTCCTGGGGGTTAAGAGGAGAAGCTAGTAGTGGTAGGAGTGGGCGTGCTGGGATTACAAAGGAATCTGAGGCAGGGTTACTCACGTTCCTGTTTGTGTTGCTATTTTCCTAGCTATGACTCAGGGTCATCCCCAGATGCCATTCTCAAAATGGCTCCTGAACTTTATTTCTTTATTTTTCTCTTTTCCCCAGCCTAGACAGATGGCCCCAGGCCAAGTGCCCCATCACATCAGGCCCTGGCGGGATGCCCAGGCCTTGTACCTGCTGTCCCCGCTGATGGGCTTCCTGAGCCGGGCCTGGAGCCTCCTGAGGGGCCCAGGGCCCCCCCAGCCCTGGCTGGTGGAAGCCAGAATAGGAGCAGACGAGCTAGAAGCTGGCGTGGAGGGTGAAGCCAAGGCTCCTCCTGAAGGGCTCCATTTCCCCCGGCCCCAAAACCCAGAAGGCAAAGCTGAAGACAGCACGGCCCCCGGGGAGGATGGAGAGGCAGCAGCAGGGCCCAGCCTTGGCCTGGAAGCTAGCAGTTCTGCTCCCGAAGCCTGGAGACTTTGCTATGGCCACGGTGCAGGGTATGGGAAGGAAGAGGCGGACAGGCAGCAGCCAGGAGGGTTCACACACGGCCAGCCTGCGCCCCTGTCCCCCCGCCTGCTGCTAAGGGCCCTGCCAGGTCCTGATAAGCGCCCCGGAGACGAGCAGGCTGAAGAAAGGGAAGTTGCTGAAGAGGAGGGAGAGACCAAGTTGGCTTATCTGGCATCACACGGCCAGGGTGGTCCTGCCAGGGAGGAGCAGGAGGAGGCTGCGGAGGCTGTCAACAGAGAAGCTGCCGCTGCCTCTGCTTCCCCAGTGGCCCCAGGACTCAGGCCCAGCACTTGGCTGTGTTGCCCCCGGGAGGAAGAGGAGCGAGCCACGGAGGACAAAGAGACAGAAAATACCGGAGCCAGGGAGTCCCCCCTTTCCCCCTCGTGCTCCAGCTCCTGCCCCGGGGCCTGGCAGAGCTGCTCAGGAGAGGCGGCTGAGAAGGGCACGAAGGCCAGAGAAGTAGGCAAGAAAGGAGACGCTGACCCAAAGCCACGGTCCTTGGTTCCCCGCCAGGGGCTTCTGCTCGGGCCCTGTGAGGGTCAACCCAGAGAGAGTGCAGAGGAGGAGGACGAAGAGGAGGACTGTGATTCCAGATCGGCTCAGGACGAGAGAGGAGCTGGGGATCCTTCTACCTGCACCACAGATGCCTTCCTGAGGGCCTGGGTCTATCGGCCTGGAGAGGACACGGAGGAGGAGGAGGAGGAGGAGGAGGAGGAGGCGGAGGAGGGTGAAGAAGAAGATGAGGATAGTGATTCAGGATCAGCTGAGGAACAGGGAGAAGCTGATGCTTCTTCGTCCACCCTGGGCACCAGCACCTTCCTGAGGGCCTGGGTCTATCGGCCTGGAGAGGACACAGAGGAGGAGGATGAGTGGGAGGAGAACCAGGACACAGAGGCTGATTCAGGAGCAGCTGAGCACAGAGAAGCTGACTGGAGCCCAGCCACCTCCCTTCAGCTCCAGGGGACCCTGCCCAGGGCATGGACAGCGCCACCTGGAGAGGGGAGAAGGGAAGAGCACTCGGCTGAGGCCAGGGCTGGAGCTGGGCCTCAACCCCTCCCCGTGGCCATCTATGTCCCTGGACAGACACCCCCGGCTCCCTGGGCCACTCCTAAGTTGCCGCTCCGACTGCAGAGGAGGCTGAGGTTGTCAGAGACCCTCCCCCAGGATCAGGACCCCAAGGTTTCCCCAAAGGACAGAAAGGTGGGTGCTGCTGTGAGCCTAGATTCTTTAGTTTGGTGCTAGAATTGCCTTGAAAGTAGCACATAGAGAGCAGGTTCTGGAGTTGGGGGGGACTGGGCGGGACTCCTGGGTCCCCCGCGTGCTACAGGCGGTTGCCTCGCCCTCACCTGGGGCCACAGTCACCATCCTGCAATCCTCTGCAAGAGGCTGGGCCCCTGTGGGTACAGGGGGAGATGTGCCTTGGGGCAGCCCAGAAACTCCCTGGGCCTGGGTGAGTCACACCTGTGGCCTGCAGTGAGTGTATTTTGTAGCCAATTCCACCCCACCCCCACTTCCTGTGTGTGTCCCTGTGTCACTATGAATCTTGCGTGTGAAACCCTGTATCTGTCCATCCCTCCCCAGGTGCGCTTCTCTGAGAAGGTCACAGTGCATCTCCTGGCTGTGTGGGCTGGACCCGCCCAGGCCGCCCGGAGAGGCCCCTGGGAGCAGTTCGCCCGGGATCGCAGCCGCTTCGCCCGCCGCATCGCCCAGGCCCAAGAGGAGCTGGGCCCCTGCCTCACCCCTGCCTGGCGCGCCCGAGCTTGGGCTCGCCTTGGGAACCAACCCCCGGCCACCTTCCTACCCACACCATCACCACCATCACCACCATCCACTCCCCTACCCCCCCAGTCCTTGCCAAGTCCCCAATCCAGGTCCTGCCCTTGATCCAAGCCCTGGCACACCCTGGCCCTCTCCTCCAAAATGTTGTTGTAGAGCTGGAATAAATCCTTCTGATTTGTAGTAAACAAAGTCTCTGTGTAGTGACTGTGTCCTGTTCTGGGTATCTGAGGTCATGGGGTTGGGGGGACAGAAAAGCCCAAACCCCTGCTAGAGAGCAAACCACATTTCCAATAACCCCTCTGTGTCTGGCCTGGTGGATTTTGTAGATTTTCTTTAATATCTGCCTCTCTCTAAATATATA